GGTGGCATTGGTGATGTTGGTGGTAGGTGTAGCCGCGGCGGAGGCCTTGGAAGAGGTGGTTGTTGTCTTTGCGGCGCTGGTAGTAGGTGTGGCCGTGGTGGCGGGCTTGGCACACGTGGTTCTTGTCTTGGCGGTGGTCATGGTAGGTTTGGCGGTGGTCATGGTAGGTGTGGCCGCGGCATAGTTCGTTGTGGCCTTGGCGGTGGTGGTAGGTGTAGCGTGGTTGTGACTTTCGCCCTATCCAGGCTGTATATAATTATTTATCTAATCCCATATATATTAGCTTGGCGTATTTGTGGTCGAGGCTCGCGGCGGCACACGCGCCCGTGGATATAATCAAAGCAGCAATGTTGGACGTGATTGTAAGTCGCTAGTGGCAGGCGAAGACTCCATTCCGTTTCATGGTATCAAAATATCTATATAAATATGTATTATCAAATCCCATATCTATATTTATATATTCGTCCATACCTATGCTAGTCAACACCATTGATCCAGCAGGAACAAGACCAAGCTGCCAAGTCGACTACCGTCCAAGCCCTGAGCGGGTCCATTGGCAACCAAGTGTCGTTGAAACAAGACGCACAAGTGAAAGATTCCCATCAAGTGCTGAACGATCTAGAACCAGCGGCGGCCGTGATCCTTCCCAACGTACTCCCTTCATGATTTCTGGTACCAAATACGTTATCTTGATTTTGGTTAGCTCTGCTTCACTCAACTCAAAATCAAGATAATGCAGTCAATGTATTTGGCACCAGAAAGGGGCTACCTTGGGAAGACCCCATCAACCTCTCTGGCATCGTCTGGGCCGTCATGGTCAAAGGTATTTATTCATCATCTCTCGTTTGCTTGATGTATTCGGGGTGCATGTCGATTGCCAGGGTTGCTGATTCTTGCCTAGGCTTCGTGCTACGTCTTGCAAGCCTGAGCATCGAGGCCATTGTTGTTGTGCTGGTCAAAGTTTGACTTTAACTACTGTACAAGTAATACTATAAGTATGTTACAACCTTCGCAGTACTACTACATCCAGATTAGCCGTCCGCCTGCAATGCCGGTATCGCTTCAACCACACGCTTTTCATATAAATGTTAACCATGACAATTGTTACGGTTTGGTTCCACGCTTCAATTAGCACCTGTAACATAATATATATCGGAAATACATTGCTCAGAATGCAATCAGAATACGATCTGTAGTTATTTCAAAGCGATCGAAAAAACTATCAGAAAAAGGTGGAGGTGCCTGGTCTTTGCCGTACAGTTAGTTCTACACGTGAAAACACCATAAGATCGCACACGAGCACATTCGTTGCCGTCAGGTTTTTAATCATCCATTTCGGGTAGTGGCTCTTCAAACACCACAACAGACGTGATGGATTGAAATAAATTTGTTATTTCAAAACTATCAGATTAGATCAACTCATAGTATTAGATTGTTTCAACTAGTATTATCAATTAAACAATCCGGTTGATGAACCCAGTGTAAGCGCGAGAAAAAGATATCATTTTCAATGATTGCAACACAGTCGAGATATATATCGGTATCGACACACTTCTGGTGGAATAAATTGTCGTGTACTATTAATAGTATATAAGGTTGCTACAAGTTTGGTTCAAACAGTGGTATTGTCAAGAAATTGGAAAAAGGGTATTGTTGTGTTTATTCAACAAACTCGAGTATTTTCAAGTCGATTCGAAATTGGAGTGGGGTGCTCGGTCGAATAGTGGATTTGATTGGCTACTTGATTCGTGATCTGGGTTTTGATTAGTCGATCGATTGTCTGCCGATTTGGTGCTGCTCATTCGATTAATGAAACATCGAATTAGTGTGTAACTTCAATTAGTATGAGACTGGACGATTTTTACATACAAAAGTCAATACAAAGAATCGATGGATAGATTTGGCGAATCAGCACAAAAATCCAAATTCAGGGTAAAAGGACAATAAAAGATGTTGAATGTACGAGGGAATTTAAGCTACACCGAAGTTCGTCTCACAATATTGTTGTACATATCCAATCAGAATCATGTATTTCAAACGTTGGTTTGATTTGTCAAAACAATCGAGTTTGGCCAATCAGACTTCAACATTTAGATCCTACTTCGATTCAAAGTGTGGCATAAATTCTCTCGTTCACTGTAATGTGATGGGCGTAACCGCTAAAGTAATTTTATGAACAAAATTCAGTACAAAAAATCGATCGACGGATTTGGCAAATCACCCAAAAATCCTAAATATTTGGCTGAAAGGACGGCACAAAATCGATCGGCCAATCAAAACCCAAACAATTAACCAATGGAGTTCTCGCTTCAACCAAGTCACACATCTAAGTTGTGACTTCTATTTGTGTGAAACTCGACGTGTTTTACAAAGATAGTCAATACCAAAACTAGGCAATCATAAAAAAACATTGGTTGCCATGACAGGAGGAGGACACAATGATGGCGAAGTACAGTACCAATTAGATAGATATATTCACACAGAATCGTGAACTTCAAAGGGCGTAGTATGCACGATTGATTTAACTAGTCGCTCTGACAACAGCAATGTATAACGTAAGCAATCATTGATTTGCATAACGTAAGCAATCATTGATTTGCCGAAATTTGATTGTGTTTGTTGGAGCAAATCTCATGCAGTTTTTACAACTCGAACTGGGTAGCGGCATTCGTATAGTCCAAGCTCCATAGTTAGATTCAAATACAAGGTAAAATTAATTGTTAGGAATAGAAGTCATGGAAGTGTCAAGATAGTTAGTGTACTTCAAACAGTGAATCATTGATTTGCCGAAATTTAGATATGATTCAGGTACTTCAAGTGCGCAGAGCAAACGATAAGGTTATGCATAATAATACTGTGAATGTTCTCGCTGACTGAATGAAGAGAATCATAATCTTTATTAACAGTGTCGTTCCCAGTGTTCACCTTGAGAAATGCATCCAAAACACTAAAACGCTGTGTGAATGCTTGACAACGAGATCATTGGCCTTTCTTTGTCTTCACTTGCCCCAGTACAACTCGTCAGGCAACATAATTCGGCGGGGACTGGAACCTGTCGGTGGCGCATTGTGAGTTGGATTGCCGATATCGACGATTGCAGTTTCTTGTATGTGGCAATGGACACTCCATGTGTGTGCCATATTCTACTGGATACAAGTATATCTCCCAGGTAATAGAGTAGTACTGTATCAACGTCATCATTATGTCAGAGCATCCCCACCGGTGCGACTGTAAACGCTATTATACAGTTCTATCCGGATTATTTACAGTTTTGACAACCCCACAGGGCGACTGAAAAATACAGGAAACTGTAAAATTTTACCGCGAGACGGCAAATCGGCCAGATTTACAGTCGCGACTGTAAAATACAGTTTTGACGAATTAGCCAATAACATGCTATCAATGGATAATTTTGTCCAATCATGTGCGTTATGGAGTCAATAATCAGTTGGTTCAGAAATGAAATCAGCCAATGCTCCAACTTCACGACCGACGAAAACTGCCAGCTTGTCCGGTCATGGATCAACATCTCTCAAGATGCGTCCAAGGGTAGTATTCATCACGCATCACCACACCGTCCATGATTTGCTCAAATAGGTGTGACAATTCCAAAATGACGGCGAAACTTGGCTTCGCCGTAGATTGGATTGGGGCCTAGGTAGTAGGTAAATCCGAGCATGCGCAGCCTTGCTACCTCGTGGTAGGTTTGGCTGGCGGTTGGCAGTAGATCCTTTAGGGCGCGCAGAAGACTGATGAAAGCCAGGAATCTCCCAAGCTTGATCCATGTCATCATCGACTTCCTTCCACGCCGTCGCGCCAGGCGTTCATTTACATTATTCGGATGTTTTACGTTTTACCGCTGGGGTGGACAAAAATCAAAATACAGGAACTGTAAAACGGGATTTTACAGTCTGATATTACAGTCGCACCGGTGGGGATGCCCTCAGAGCGTTCGGTTCTATGTCCACTTGGGTGCAACCTTTGGACGCATACTCACCGTGTCTGGGTGGACATTCCTGAATACGAAACGGTCGTGAAATCAAACGTGGGGGGTGGTTTCAAAAGTCCGAATGTTGGTCAAAACATCAAAAAGTTGGTTTTATTGAGTATTTATAATACCCTACCAGAACCCCTTGTGGCGCAGCCCTACCCCTGCCGATTCCGGCTGAAGCCACAAGGGGTTCTGATGTGAAAAGTCAATACGCATATGTATAGGTGCAAGCAATCCGTCCCGAGTTCGATCCCGGTTGGGAGGCCTTCGATTGCCTTCTACGGATACATTATCCGTAGTATCCATGTTGGTCGTCAACCAAAACTGATTGATGTTTAGACACAGGAACCAGATGTAGCGGCGGACGTGGAGCCGATGCGGCAGCCGTTGGATCTTGTGCGACTACAGGCGTATCCGGAGGAGCATTTCCCATGGCGGGGAAGAACGTGGGCTTATGTGTGCACCAATTAAAGCACGGGCAAAGCAAACCGACGTACTTGGTCGAGTTTGGAGCACAGCGCATGATGTTGCGAAAGCCACCGACAGGCAACATCCTTCCATCGGCCCATGCAATGGACAGGGAGTATCGCCTAATGGGGTCATTCTGGGTCGGCGCTCGATCTGCCGTTTATGTACACTGTGGACGGCAACTTGGACATCCACCAACAAGTCAATCGTGCCGTAGCCGCCAAGCACATCCTCAATGCTGGTATTGATGCCATGTACACATCACCTCGATATGTACATGCCTAATGCGATGCCAGGGTTAGATTTCTGATGACGTGGAATTCACTTGTGAGATCTTTGACCACCTTCCCGCCCTATAACGTTATAGTAAATAGTCATTTCAACCTGCACCTGGATAGACAGGCTGAAGATGCTCGACTATGTAGGGACTGCCTATTTCGGTCTCACAGTCAATTCACAGAATGGAGAGCAAAGCTCACCTGCGCTTTAGTATGTCAAGGTTGTGATACTGTAGGTATATGGACTCGCAATGGACGATACGGTTGAGAATGACGACTGTTCTAAGCAACGGGTTGTAAGGAATACCGGTCATTCACACATGAGAACTTGTGTCACTGGTCAGAGAAGGTTGTGCTTTGGCGGGCTGCCGATGCACTCGACGATTTAGTGAAGTGTGAGCCACGAGCGCGTTTGAAGGATCCATGTACCCAAAGGAAAGTGATTATTGGCTTTCTGTCGACTACATGATACCGATGATTGGACAAAATTATCCATTGATAGCATGTTATTGGCTAATTCGTCAAAACTGTGTTTTTCAGTCTCGCGGTAAAATTATACAGTTTATTGTAAATAGTCCGGATGGAACTGTAAAATAGTATGATGCATGTATTATCCGGACGGCGTATCTGAGCACTTGGCTTTTGTATGCAATGTTCTCCTTCAAGTTTTAGTCCTGAATACAAAGGGCAATATAGTCGGGATGGGGAGGGCTAGGACTAGAATAGATGGATTTAGGCCCTCCATTCCTATTTTCATTTCGAAATTCCAAATTTGGTGTCGATGATGCAAGACGACAACAGTGTGCAAGGGCTCAAGGACATCAAAGACCGACTTCGACGTCACCACTGGATCCCAAAGTACGAAGTCGAGTTTGGCTTGCAAGTTGTGGAGCGCCATCCGCACACCGGCGAGGTCATCTTGGCCGTGTGCGGCTTGTGCAAGTCCTTCGGCCGAGAAGTGCGCGAAAAAGAAGACGACGAGGCGTCGTCGTCGCCCAATCAACGCAAGCGCCGCCGTGGCCTGACCACGACCAAGTACTTCCGATCGTTCCGGGTGGACAATATCCGAAGCCACTTGAGCGGCGCTCATCCTGTGCGATGGCAAGAGTACCAAGTGCTGGCAAAGAACGAGGATTTGCGACGCAACTACCTTGCCCAATGCAACGTCAACATGGGCCTGATGACATCCCTGCCCATGAACATGATGGGATTGCCGGGTGGCATGGACGACGGAGGCGACCTCGACAGCGAGACCCACCTGGCCATGAACGCCATCGTCCAGCAATCCACGCGCCAGTCCACTCCGAACAAGCGACCTGCGTCGTCTATGCCTGGCTCATTTTCTGGCAATCGCCCACCCCCTCTCGATCCCAAGACCATCGAACTGCAAAAGTACCAGTTGGATTGGGAACGGTTGGAGTTCGAGCGCATGCGATTCCACAAGGAGCTGCACATGAAGGAACTCGAAGAAAAGCAGAACGAGCGCAAGTTGCGCCACGAAAAGGAGATGCGCGAGAAGGACCGGGAGCTGGACCTCGAGAAGGCCAAGATCGAGCAGGAAAAGTTCAACAAGCTGGTCGACTGCTTGAACCGCGCCCTCGGCCACGTCCCAGTGTCGTCCAACGTCGTCGCCGATTCCATTGTGTAAACATGCCAGTCGACTTTCTTTTTCATACCCTTTATATCTACGTCGTCTCATCGAGTTACAGTGCCATTGGATGGCCAAACTGGAACCTATGCATATGTTGTGCTATGTAGTAGTAGTATACGTGCAGAAGTAGGATGTTCAAAAGTTACGCTTACATTTCGGGGTTTCGGGGTTTCTATATGGGATGGCCATGCAGAAGTCGCACTACAGTCTGTACGTAGCTACGTAGCTAGCACTCCTGGACAGGAATGCCGAGGCTTGGCGTTGTCGTCCTTTCGACGGCGGTTTCAAAACGCAGAATGATGGTCAAAGTATCCAAAACGTTGGTTTTATTTGAGTTATACTAGTAGTACTTCCAGTTTCATATGACAAACGTCGGAAGTAATATTAATATATTAATCAACAGATTGTGTGAATACTGCAACTTGTAGAACATCTATCAAACCAATCATACTATAAAGTCTGATGGACTGCACGTCAGTGTATTGTTCTTGACTCACACTATATATTCAATCCCTAGTTGCGCAGGGAAAAATCCGAGTCCACCGAGCCCCCGTCGGCCTTGGCGAGGACGCCCAAATGGCGGTATCCGCAGGATACACTACCGACACGTGAGGAATTTTCCCATTTTCACAGAGGCATCGCGTACCTCGTGACGAAGTGGGTGGCCAGCGCGTCGATTTGCTTGGGCTGCGGTTGCGGGTTTGTGTCGTAATGGCCCAAGTAGTTGGAGCGACCAATGCCCCGCTTGCCGAACGAGTACACCGAGCCGTCGTCTACAAGAACCCCTCGTTAGTAGCACACCACCGACACACACCTATCGTATACACTGGAACGACATGGAGAAAGAATCGACACAACCAAATAAACGTACACAAGAATGGGCAGAATAATTGAGCCAATCAGATTGCAGCAAACCAGCATCAAATAGTGTATGACTTTAAAAATTCGTGTGTTCTTAATTACAATCACCACAGGACGACACTGTTACATATAAAACCATCGATCGGTATAAATTTGGCGAATCAGCATAAAAGTCCAAATATTTTTGGTTAAATGGCCAATACCAGCAACGACCAACGTCGACCGATCTCCGCAGGCCACATCCACGAGGCGCTTGGACTTGAGCGGCGTAATTTCGTTCGGGTAGACCCACAAGTTGGCGCCCCATACAAACAGCTTGCCGGTCTCGGTCAAGGCGGCCGCGTGTTCCGTACCCGCCGCAATCTTGACCACCTTTTCCCCTAACAATACCATCATCGTTATTGAAAGTCGATTTATTCGAAATTAGAGTGTTTGGGTTCTCAATCGAAGGAGCAGAATATAACCAAATCGGCAGACATCGATATACGACCAATCGAAACACAGAACACGAATCAAGTGGCCAATCAAATTCACATTTCGATCAATGTTGGTATGTGACTGAAATTAGTGTGATACTGGACGATGTTTACATACAAAAGTCAGGATAAAGAATCGATATATCGATAGATTTGGCAAAGAAAGTCCAAAATTTGGGTAAAAGAAAGACAATATTATCATCAAAACATGTCATATCGATCCTACTACCTTCAAAGCCGCGAATTTCAATGGGAATGCGCTCCATGGCGTTGTTAATGTCGAGCACGCCGCCTTCAAGACCCAGCTGGAAGTCTACTCTTGATGTGACAATTCCATGTGACAGAGTTCGATCTATTTATCCGGAAGGCGACGACGACGTACGGTTGTTCTTGCCCCAGCCAAACACTCGACCGTCGTCCCGAAGCGCCAATGAAAACGACCGACCAGCGGCTATGGCCACGCATGTCATCGAGTCGAAAAAGTCGAGTGGCTCGGGAAAGTCGAGGGAAATGAGCTCGCCGTTGCCTAGTCGGCCGTTGTCGCCGCGGCCCCATGTCCAGATCTCGCCGTCCGCAGACAGCGCCACCGTATGCGAGTCGCCGCAGTCCACCGCTTGCACCCGAACGCCCTAAGTCTGTGGGTCAAACGAACACATTTGTACACAACATACATCGTCGATGAACGTTTCGACGAGCGTGGGGAGCGTGACGTTCTGTCCATCGGAAGGGCCCAAGCCCAGCGCGCTGTCAGACATGGACGTGCCGCCATACCCCCATGTGAATAGCCGCCCTTTGTTGTCCAGGGCCGCGGTGTGGTGGACAGCGCACGACACGTCGACGACATGCACGCCGTCCAAATGCTCCACCCACGTCGGCACGTCGACTTCTTTGATGTTGTCGCCTAGCCCCAACTCGCCTTTTTCCCCGAACCCCCACGTGTACACGCGACCAGTCGCATCAACTAGCAAGAGACAACGGTGACGAGAGGGTGGGCGGATGGAAGGTTGTTCGTCAAGAAGTGGGGTCTGGACTGCTTACCTGCAGCGCTGTGGGTCGTGCCAAGAGACAGCTTGGACACGTTGGCATTCAGTGCCCGAAACGCATCGATCGATCGCGGACCCAGTTCCGTGTACTTGCGCGCAACGCCCGACTTCTCCACTGGGCCAAGGCCGAGTTGACCGACTGTACCGTCGCCCCACACGAATGCTACATGGACGTCAGAACACCTAAGAGTTGTGCGCCATCATCATCACCATTGTAATGGCCAGGCTTGGCGTTTGTGCTAAACTGCTTCACGAAGCGGCTACGGATTGCGCGGGCCAGCATCATGTGACTGGACCAAACAAATGCAGTTCGACGCAAAAAATGTTCAAATCGTACTACTACTTGTACTAATAGTATCTACTAAATAGCCATACCAATCTCAAGCACTCCGCCGAACTACTAAACAACCGCATAGTACTACTACGTATAGTTGATGGATTCGAAAAGATGTTGGCCCCACGGAAGGTCCTGCACTCGACGCCAGTGGGCGTGATCGAGCAGGCCTTTTCGCTGGCCCAAGTGAACGGCAGCGACGTGGTGTGCGACGTGGGATGCGGTGATGGCCGAGTGCTGCTGTATGCCGCCAGCAGTCTCCACGTGGCCCGATGCGTGGGCATGGAAATCGACGCAGACCGCGTGTGTCAAATCAACGAAGCCGCCAAGCGACTTGGCGTGGACGACAGAGTAACTATTTATTGCGGCAACGCGCTCGATATGGACTTGGACGACGACGTGACTGTGATCTTTCTGTTCCTCATCGAACGAGGGCTGCGGCAGATCTTCCGCAAGCTGCTCGCGTGCACGTCCAAGCTTCGACACAAGGAATTGCGCATTGTCACTTATTTATACAGGGTCCACGTCATGGATCCGTACATGGTGTCCAGCCAGTTTTGCCCCATCGACCCGCCAGGCACCAGCGACGCCGCGTTCCCCATTTACCTGTACAAGTTGCCTCCTCTAACGACTTAGCCGTACAGTAACTAACGTAACTAACGTAACTAACTACTACTCCAACGAGCGACACGTGTTAAACCAATTTTGGCAGCGACGCCGTGGCCTTCAGCTTGTTGTCGTCTTGCTTGATCTTCCTCTTGATGAGTTTCAACGTGTCCTTGGCAGTAGTAGACTTGGAATACGTCTTGGCCTTGAGTTTCCCACTGGCTTCGTCATGACTGCTGCTTCGTTGGGACAGCGCTGACTCCATGCGATGGCTGAGCTCGACCAGGGACGGAGTCGACAATCTACTCACCCATATCCCAATATGTTATGTCTGTGCGCAGCGAAATCACACTAGCCACAGCCACCTCGCTCGTACCTATTCAAGTTGTCCAGATTCAGCGACGGCACGACCCCTTCGGAAACCTGATTGCTGGTGGGGGTGGTGGTATTGTTGTTATTGTTGTGGCTTAGCTTGTCAAACGAGCACATGTCGAGCCCAATTTGAGCTCGTAATAGAGCAACGGGGATATTCGTCAGATCATAGCTGCACGCCATTACGTTTGTGTTCGATCTGGGGGAAGTTTTGGCGACTGGAGTCAGTGCCGACGACGTTGCGTAGTCCGCCAATTCTGGGTGCGTCCTCGACGTAAACACTTGCTGGTCTGCGAGGTCATCGCTGCTGCTGGTACTGCTGCTGGTGGTGCTGCCAGGTCGTTGCAATTTGCGCAGCTGTTTCATGAGCTGATGCTTTTGAAGCAAGTGGTCCTGGCACTTTTCCTTCTCTACAGTCAGCTCCCTTGACAACGATGCCAACGCTGCTTGGTACTGCTGGTCCAGTCCTTGGAGCCGACCACTCAAGTCGGCAATCGTCGCGTTCGATGCGTTCTGCTGCGCGTCCAGTCGTTGGGCTAGTGCTGCCACGTTGTCCGTCGCATGGTGTAGCTCGAGCTTGGTCCGATCCAACGTAGACTTAAGCAGCTTGTTCTCACTATCGAGACATAATATATATATAAATATATATTGTGGATTCGGTACAAATTTCCAGACCCCGTCGAATCGAATCTCGCTGGTGAATCGAGTCACGAATCGACGCTATTGTATAATCCAATTTTGAGTGTATTTGATTGGCTCTTACAGAAAGGCCAAGTATATTCAACCAATCAGAACTCCAGCATGATTGAATATTGATCAATCAAACCACGCGAATTTCGGAAGTTTATAGCGAATTCACAATATTTATATGAGGCTTTTCATGAACTTGGGCATGCGATAAAGCTTCATGGATGGTTCTTTGAATCCATCTTTCAATTCTGATTGGCTGAATATAACTTGTATTTTAAGAAATAGCCAATCAAAAGCACTTCAAAGGAATCCTCAATAACGTTATTATAATGTCCAGCAGGCGATTCGAAATTAATTGAGTGGCGTGCTCAATCGAATGAGCAGAATACTTCCAAATTGGCAGACAATCGATCAACCAATCAAAATCCAGAACAAGAATCAAGCGGCCAATCAAATCCTCTCTTTGACCGATGCAACATCGAATTAGTGTGTGACTTATATTAGTATGACACTGGACAATTGTTACATACAAAAGTCAGTACAAAGAATCGATCAATGAGGGATTTGGCGAATGAGCACAAAAGTCCAAATTTGGGGTAAAAGGACAATATCTAATCCATAATATATTTTCTGTGGCCGATTACCTTGTTAATTGTTGGTGGACCAGCGTATACCGGCCACTGGCACTGTGATCGAGCTCGTCTTTCGCCCTCAAATGGCTCGACTCTAAATCTCGTTTTTCTTTCTGGAGCCGCACCAGGTCATCTCGTAGCTTTTCCTCGAGATCATGCGATTCTTTTAGCTTGGCATCCTACACAATATCAAGCTGTGAGTCTATATATAATATATATATACTGTATATCCGTACGCAAACGAGTTTCATTTCGCTAAGTCGAGTCGCCGTCGTTTCCTTGATGTTGGCCAGCGGAGCCAGCTTGCGCTCGAGCTCGGCCAACTTGAGCTGCCGCTGTTCGTTGTCCTTTGTAAGCTTATCCACTTCGACCTTCTTGGCTTCCAACATCTACACAACAAACCCCATATGTCCATACTATCAAATCGATTCGAAACTGGAGCCTGTAGCAGAATCGAATGTCATTAGGAAACCGTCTAAGCCAATCAAATCACGTCCTGTCAAAAATATCTGCCAATCATCCAAACGATTGATCCCATCACATTAGACAACACCGCATATATACTGATCTTTGTATAGTATAGTGTGTACACGCTTAAATTGGATCAAGTGGATTCGAATGCTATTTGGCGAAATGCTTCACAAGTCATCCAAATTTTGGTGAAATGAACCATACTATCAAAATGTACTGTTCTTTTCATCCAAATTTGGACTGGGCAGTTAATTTAAGAAATCGACTCAAAAGACAAATGAATACCATACACTGTATACCATACGAAAATTGAATATAAATAGTTCAACTGGTACAAATGGGCGAAAACCTTGGGCCAGACTACCATTGGTTGGAATTTAGAATATGAAGCAATTTCATTGGCTAGTCGATTGTCTCTGCGTTTGGGCTGGCGCTATTCGATTGGACTACCCACTCCAACTTCGAATCAAATGCAAAATACCTCTTTTTGCTTTTGGTACTTGGTCTCGAGGCTGTCGTAGTTGTCTCGACGCACGGCCAACTCCCGCTTGAGCATCATCGTCGCTTCCTTCCACTCGACTTCTTTGCGCTTCAAATCGTCTTCGACATACCTGCAATCCATATTGTCAAATCTGTTCTCAATTACTTGGCCTTTCCAGTAGAATTGAATGAATCAGGCGAATGCATGTTAGAATAATCTAGCCAATCAATTTATACTATTGAGTCATGTGATCCAATCATCAATCAATGTAGTTAGCCCTGCGGTTTAAAGTATACCTTTAAATATGTATACCATACATTGAGTAAGCTAAATATCTGACACAACTCGATTCGTGAATCACCACCTAACAAATCCATATTTCATCGAAAAGGACAATACATATACCCTTCACTTGTCAGGGTTACAAAAACCAGAGGAGAGTATTGTGCTTTCCAGTGAAATTTCGTGCTGTGGCGTGGTTTCTCGTTGAAATTGAAATCGATTTGATTGGCTACTTCAGACGAGCTCAAAATTATTAACCAATCAAAACCTTCTCAATGAAATTCAACCAATCAGATCGATTGTGGATCGGTTTGGTCGGCGCGATTCGATTGCACCCCCTCCCCAAATTTGTATATCAAATCGACAATATGTATTCTTGTATCTATTCTACTAAACTAGAACGACATGCCAAATCAATGTCGACACAACCAAATGTGCAGAAGAATCGCCAGAACCAAAGCACCAACCAAATTACACAAAACCAGTACTATGAATTTGCTATATATATTTCCCAATTCTATGCGATTCGTAATCTCGCCGCGAAGTTTCATTGGCTTTCACGATTCCACAGAAAGCACGAAGAAAGGCGAAAAACTAATGTAGCCAATCAGCGACAAGAATTTTCCGATTGGCCAATGGGAACGATTCGTCGTCGGTTTGGTCAGCGTGATTCGATTGAACGGGGTCCAGAAATTCGTTGCCAAATCGTCAATCATTTCAAGCACGACAATTCTTACATACAAAAGTCAATACAAAGAAGAATCGATCATCGATAGATTTGGCGAATCTGCCCAAAACTCCAAATATTTGGAGTCAATCGACAAGACCTGCACTGGCTTCGCAGCAGTTCGTCGTCTTGTGCTCGCCGGGCTTGGTCAGCTTTGAGCAAGTCTTCTGCATGCGTGAGCTCGGCGACCAAGTCATTAATCGTGGCGTTGGCAGCGCTCTGGATCGTGGAGATCTTGGCTTGCAGCTCCTCGTTCAAAGCCATCGCTTCCATGTGGTCAGTGCGCAGCATATCCATGTCCTTACGACACCCTTCTTCCGCGGCAGCATGAGCCTTTTCTTGAGATCGAAACTCTCGCCGTAGCTAGCGAGCATTTACTCCACTTAATTACAGAATTATATATATATATATATTATTATTATCATTTTAAAAAATTACATGGAAACAAAGGGTTCAATTTTGATCGAATTGTGTATCACGATCGTTATATTTGATTTTATTCAAACCTGGAGCGACAAACTAAATAAATCAACACAACCAAATGAACAGAAGAATCGGCAAAAAATTATTATTGCAGGAACCCATCACCAGTATCCAATTAGTGTGAGACTTCAACTAGTGTGATTCCATTACGATTCACATACAAAAGTCAGTAGAAAAAACTCGAATTATTTGGCGAATCAGCAGCATCCAAGTTCAAATGTGGGGTAAAACGACAAGATCACGATCATCACCACTTCCAGCTGTCGCAAACTATCGTTTAAATCTTCTGCGGCGCGACTCAATTCGGTTTGCAGTGTTTGCTTGGATCTTGCGACCCTAGAAAAAAAGATGATATCCTCGTCGATATATACCAAATATATGAACCGTTCAAGTTCCGCTTTGACTTGAGCGAGGTCGCCTTGGACGGCTAACAACTCGTCATCTCTGCCTTCCAAATGTTTGTTGAGGCATTGCTTTTCCTGTCGAAGCGTGTGCAATTCTGCGTTCAGTTGTCCGTTAAGTCTAAGTGGATGATTTAAATGATTTTAATGACAAACAAATATCAGCGTGAAAAGTGCTTTACGTTTCTAGGGAAGCGGCCGTGCTTTCCAGTCGCCGCTTGTCCCCGGCCAGGGCGAGACATTGGCCGGAAGACGCAGTCAAGTCGGCTCGCAGCGTGCTCTCCACCGACGAACTAGATATGTAGCATATGGGGCTCAATCGGTGCAATCAATAGCTCGTATTATCAATTGATTCGAAACTGGAGCCCTCATTCAGCAGAGTCGAATGTATTCGGAAAATCGATCAAGGTTCCGTCTGGTAACCTGAAAAGATTACAATATTCTGGCCGAAAATACCATTTTTGGGATAAGAATTGAAATATGTCTTGCTTGAAGAGTTTTAACCCAAATCCAATAATTCCAAGTGGGATTTTTTACTCCTTGAAAAGGTCCAAAACGCCACACTACAAAATGGACCTTTTACCTCCATTTTGAAAATGGCATTTTTTTGGTTTGTCCCATTATGCCAGAAAATGGAATATTAATTTTTAAATGTTACCAGACGCACCCTAAAGAACCGCCTGAGCCGATCAAATTACGTCATGTCGAATTTCTGCCAATCCAAACGTTTGACCCCTCCACATTGGGCAAAACCACATTTATATTAATCATTGTAAAGTATTGTGTGTATAAGATTAATTATGGTAATTATGGATCAAATAGTAGATTCGAAAGCTATTTGGCGAAATGACTCTCTAGTCCAAATTTGGGTGAAATGCACAATATTGTTGTGTATATTCTGAGCGACGTGGAGAATGAACATCGACAGAACCAAATGTACAGAAGAATTGGCTGAAGGAATTCGCCAATCTGATTGCAGGAAACCATCAACAACGTCAAATTAGTGTGCGACTTCAATTAGTGTGATACCAATCACCGCAGGACTGCTTTTCATATACAAAATTCAGTACAATAATGAATCGATCGATAGATTTGGCGAAGCAACACCCAAATCCAAAAGGCAATACCTGGTCGTAGCCAATCCATCTGCTTTATCTTTCCATTCGGCACATGAATCTTGCGCGTCGATCAGCTCTACTCGCGTACGCTCCAAACTTTCCGCCAGGTCCGCCGCGTGGCGTCGACACGCGTCGCTGTCTTCCCTGGCTTGGACGACGAGCTCATTCAACGACGTCACTTGCCCTTCCAACGTTGCGACAGTGGCCAGCAGCGATCGCGACTGTTTGTCCCATTCATGGCGATCTCGTTGGTATAAAGCGTCCGACTCGGCCAACTTGGCACTCCAGTCGGTCCTGTTTGTGGCCATCGCGGCAGTCAATTGGTCATGTGCATCTTGAAGATCATTGTGTTCCGACTGTAGCACCACCACACGGTGTTTCGTGGCGTCCATGTCCATCTGAAGTGCATTTTTCACTTGGTACGATGTCTCCAACGACTTGTTCAATGCATCCGCTTCCTACATATGGCAATTGGAGTGACAAGCAATCGATTGACCAATCATAACGAAGAACACTAATCAAGTGGCCAATCATCAACGCTTCAACATATCGAATTAATGTAATACTGATGAAATTAGTGTGAATGGCCGTACTTTTTGCATCTAAAATTCCATTCAAAAAATCGATCGAGAATCAGTACAAAAGTCAATTTTGGCTGAAAGGACACAAATACCGACACCAAACGTACGTCACAAATACATCCAACGTACTTGCAATAGCTCGCGCTTTTCGTCCTCGAGTTGGTCGATCCGGGCGCGCTGTCCGTCCACAGACCGTTGAAGCTGCATGGTACTAACTGCGAGCGCTTGCTGCTGGGCTAGAGCGTCGTCCACCTTGCGCTGGCTCGACGACTGCATCTCCATCAAAGCCTTATCATGGGCAGCCGTTAGCGATTGCATCTCCACCACCAACGCCGCGCAGTCCTGCTTGACGGACTCCAGTTCGTCCGTGCATGATTGCAGGCTCTGTTGCAGATGGGCATGTTCCACCGCAAACGCTTGGCTGTCCATCTACCAGCGTGGTTCAAACTATGGGGCAGTAGAAAGGGCTTTTTCGTACCGAGAGCTGCGATTCCCGAGCCTGACACGCTTGTAGCAACGTAAGGCGGTCATTGGCCGTGGCCACAATCGAGTCTACTTTGCCCACTAGCTCGTCCATCTACCGTGTTTACATTGTCACCACGAAGTAGAGTAAGCCATCGTTCAATATCGTATTCGTACCGAGGACGAGCTGTCTATGCCAACCAACGCACTCAATTTCACACATCCTTGCTGCAAGTGTGCAAACTTGCCTTCGCTGTCCGTCCTCGCTGCTTGGCAAGCGGCGAGGTCCTGTGCCAACGCAATGCACTGCGAGTTCATTTCCGCCAGGTTCCGATCTGCCACAACCCGTTGCTTGTCAGCGTCTGCGGTCTTGGCAGCCAGCGTCAGCTTGGCGCCTTCCATCGCGTCTTCAAACTGGAGTCTCAGTGCCTGGAGCTGCTTGTCGGTCGCTTTCGCCCGTTCTTTGACTTGACTCAACCGATCTTGGCATTCGTTTCGCTCGGCCACGACCACCGCCAGCGATGTCGCGTGTTTGGCTTGAACGTCGTCAAGCTCGTCCGTGTATCGCTGCAGTTCCGTCCGCATCGCAGCGTTGAGTTCTTCTTTCTGGGATCGTTCGACCTGGTTGGGGTCATAGGTACCGTTCGAGTTGCTGGCAGTAGAAGAAGTTCGAGTAGTGAGCGGGGGGGGGGCTTACCTGCAACGCTGCTTCGGCGACACGGAGGGCGTCTTTCACAAGTTGCTGCTGTGCATGGCTCTCGAGGATTTGGGATTCCAGACTCGTCAGGGTGTTGGTCCACGACTGGTCGTTTTGGGTTAACGACGTCTTGAGTTGGGTCACGTTGTTGTTGGCTACAACGATTCACACAAGTGTTGATAATGGTTTTAGAACTGGTTCACCACAATAATACAACAATTTTTTTACCTTCCAAGAGGGCGGCGCGGCACCGCTCCAGGTCATGAAACGCATCGGCCAAGAGTTTACCGAGCTCTTGCTTTTCCGTGTCCACGTCTTGCAACGTCGCAGCCAGCGCCTCCATGGCCGCCTTGTGCTGGCCTTTGGTTGCCTCTTGGTCCCGCATTAACGCGCTCAAGTTGTCACTGGCAGTCTACAACTCCAACATGATATTACCCCGTGTGTTTGCATGACGAGACGCGACATACGCCATATTGGTCTTGCCAAGACTCGCACTGATGGCTGAGTTCCCGATTTTTCTCTTGAAGAGCCATGGTGTCCTGTGACAGCTTGGCGATTTGGTCGTCGTGGGCGACGCGCGCGGCCTCGAATTCCGCCTGTCGACTCTGCGACAACGTCGATTATGAGGAGGAGGGATGGGTTCTTTGTAAAATGACAACTAGGACCGACCTCCATGTACAGTTCAAACTTTTTCTCCAAGTCCCGCCGTTCGTCTGTAAACACGGTCATCACTTCTTGGATTTGCTTGGCGTGGTCGGTTTTGTGCTGCTCGGTGGCGTCGATGGCCGCCTGCAAGTCGTGTCTACGTCATCATTGCGATCAAACCAGGATGGACCAGGGAAGGAGTTGGCTCATCTCGTCCTTCTTACGTGAGCTGTTGGTTCATTCTCTGCAACGTGTCGTTCTCGTGGAGCGTCCTCTCCATGGCTTCGGCCGTGCCTGCGGACTCGTGCTTCATCGTTTCGAGGAGGGCACTCAGTTGGTGCATCCGAGATTCCTTGGTCTCGAGTCGATGAAGCACATCTGCTGGCTCCATCATAGACGGCATGTTGTTATTGTGGTGGAATACCCCCCCTGCGGTCGGAAGACTGGACGATGGTGGAGGCATCTGAACGCCAGGGGGGTTGGATGCATACCCTCGCTGCGGCGGTTGATGGTACTGGGGGACGCCATAGTGTTGGTCATGGCAAACGGGATCGCATTCATCGGGGGGAGTCTGAGGGGGCGACTTGGATATCTTGGTCGACTTGCGGCCTGTGGACGCTCTGGAGCTGTGACTCGATGACTTGGACAGCTTCATCGCCTCACGCGTGAGATTTTTGTTATGCCAGTCCACCGATGGCTAAATATAGATCGCTGCTGCCACTGGTGCGTCCTTTCCTGCACATCTGCCGCCGCGACCGTTTCATCCCGACACGTGATGCAATAAGTACACGTGGCGTGATTGTAGGAACTTGACGTAATACGCGAATCAATTGGATCAATGAAATGCAACTTCAACAAGGCATGCTTGGATACATAGATAGCTAAGCTTAGTTGATCTAACGTTATTACCAGGGTGTCGTTCAAAAGAAGGATGGATATATTGTAGATTCGGTACGAATTTACTACTTATCTCGCATGAACGTGGCCGCGACATCGGATTGGTTGTTCTAAAATTGTTTTCCTCTGATTGGTACATTATTTGTTCTATTATCCCAGACTATTTGGTAGCCAATGAAATGTCGAAGAAATTCACAATATTGCGTTGTTAAGATATATACTAGGCGCTGACGGGCAGCTACAAGTTTGTACTGTACGGTATCTCCATAGCTTTGCTTGAATATAATGCGTGAATGTTCCTGGATTAGAGTTACAAGGTCATTCGTCGTCATTGTCGCTGCCATCACGAGCACTATTCATCTCTTCAAGCACTCGCTCCTTTTCCTTTTCTCGCAAGCTCTTGGCAACGTTAAACACTCCTACCATAACCCCGTCGTAAGCCATACCATCGTATATATATATATATATATAACGTTACCATTGGTTTGTCGTTTGCAGTTGAAACACAGCGACGACTTTTTGTATCGCTTGAGCGCACATTTTTCACAGAAAAAGTGCCCACAACTACATATTACACAAAACACCAAAAATTTAGCTAAAAATGGTCCTAAAAAGCCAAAATCCACAAATCCACGGACATGGTTTCCACGGCGTTCGTGAACGGGTTGCGGCAAATAGTGCATGCAAACTGCTCGTCGTCTTCGCTCTTGATCAGGTACTTGTCGTCGTCCGAGTCCCCATCCTCACCAAGGCCATCTTTGGGCTCTACAAGAAAACTCTCAGCATATTGTGTAATCGATTCGGAGCCTGAATCGAATGTGTTAACGAGAATGGATTCAAGAACCGTCTCAGCCAATCAAATCACTCGTTCTGTCGATATATCTGCCAATCCGAACGTTTGATTCGGGGCAAAACCACAAGTCAATTCGAAATTGGATTGTGGGGTTTACAGATAATCGATCGACCAATCAAACCCCAGAACACTAATCAAGTGGCCAATCAAATTCACTCTTCGACCAATTCAACACAGAATTAGTGTGTGACTGAAATTAGTGTGATACGTAACGATCTTAAAGTCAGATCGATAGAATGAATCGTGGTTTGTATAGTATAGTTTGTACAAGGTTCAATGAGATCAAATGGATGGCTAGTTGGTGAAATTGACCGGGTGAAATGCACAAGAACATATCCTTCATGGGGTGGGTACGTGTACCTCGACCCTGCAGCGCTTGCTTCTTCTTGCGTTCCTTCTCGTCCCATTCCTTGTCGATTTGCCATCCACTTTTGTAATCGCCGCGATCGTGCATGAACTTACAGTTGTCGCCATAGCCGCAAAACCCTGTCTCCTTGTAGTCCTTGCAAATGTCAGGCGCGTAATCGAACCGACAGATCGACCGCGCCCACGTCTGCGCTCGGATCGGGCCTTGGGTTCCCGTGTACTTGTTCATGCCGATGGAAGCCTCCTTCTTGGTCGCGTAGTTCTTGTACCCTGCTTGCCCTTGGTAGATCTTGCCACTGAGGTCGTTGCCGTCGGCGTTCAGCTTGATGTTCTTTTCCAAGATCGCTCGTGCATCCCTATACAATGCACAATGTGAGTCCCTAGGGACTCTCCATGATGGACGTAGTTGGTGGCATACTTGTCTTGTTCCGTGTCGATTTGAGATTCATACGTGGCATCCCCTGCATACGCCTGACGGACGGATTGTCGAGTGGACGTTTGGAACCGAGCATCCATGACTTCCTGCGAGTTGGCCTTCTTCGACGAGGACGAGAATGTGTTGAGTTTCTTCCGAGCATCCGACGGAATAGGAACGGTCACATCTCCTTCATGTGCGTCGTCGTCGCCATCCTCATCCACGTCGCGGCGCCGCTTGCCTTGTGACTTCTTGACTCTTGTCGCAAACATGTCCAATGACGGGCGCTAAAGATTATTCGACCAAATATTCTGACTGAAATCGCTTTTACCGCATTCTGACCAATCAAAATTGTCCTAAAATTGATGTGAATATACAAATATTACGACGATTTTCTGGATAAAAATCAGAAAATTAAGTATCACAGGCCTTTGGTCGCAAATATTTGTCAGGTGCAGGAGGAAGCATGGCGGACCAGCGGCAGGGCATCTACTTTGGAGAGATCTCCGCACAGCAGTCGCCCTCTGTAGAGGCCAACTCGGTGGAGGCTGGCATCCGTGCAGGGAACATCAACATCAGCAGTTCTACCGACCGCGAAGTGTTGGAACTGTCGGCGAGTAGTCGAAATGCACAGGAGAAACATGCCGAGCTACTGCGGTCATTAGAAACGGAGAAGCGGTCTCGAGCAGTAAACGTCCCCACGCGACCTGAAGAAGTGATCCGTCAACTTCGGAGCTTGGGGCATCCCATCACATTGTTTGGCGAACGGCCAGAAGATCGCCGCGCGCGGTTGCGTACCGTTCTGTCCTCGCTGGCCGTCGACGGCGTCCTCCCTCAGGCAGTTTCTCGGGCCCAGGACATCTCATCCTCCGTGGGCTACGAGAAGGAGAAGAAGGTACCGTTGGAAGACCAGTTGTTCTATGTGCCGGTCAAGTCGAACGACCTCAAACATGCGCGACAAGCCCTGTTCAACTACTCCATGGTCCGCACAAACGCCCGTCTCCAGCACGAACGCGCTCAGCAGGACTCGTCGGTGTTCGAGCTCGATGCCCACGCCGCCGATCTCTACCGCACCTCCCAGCACATCGCCGTGAACGCGAGCCAACTGGCGGACGTGCGGCCGCTCTCGGCCGTCCGCTTCTCGCCGGACGCGTCGATGTTGGCCACCGGCTCGTGGAGTTCCAGTGTCAAGCTGTGGGACTCCAAGACGTGCGCGTTGATGCACACATTCCACGGACACACGGACCGCATCACAGGCATCGCATGGCACCCCACGGCCACGTCCGCCGCATCGACGTCGTCGTCTTTGCTCGTCGGCAGCGCCTCCGCCGACGGCACGGCCAAGCTGTGGAACCAACAAGACACCAAGCAGCCAGTGGTGACCCTCAAAGGCCACCAGAGCCGCCTCGGCCAACTGGCATTCCACCCCATGGGTGCGCATGTCCTCACAGCCAGCTACGACCATACGTGGCGGATGTGGGATGTCGAACGAGGCACGGAGTTGCTGCTGCAGGAAGGCCACTACCGCGAGGTGTATGCGATAGCGTGCCAAGGGGACGGAGCGCTCTGTGCGACAGGGGACTTGGGCGGCGTCGGGCGGGTGTGGGACTTGCGCAGTGGCAAGTCCATCATGACGCTGCAAGGTCACGCCAAGCAAATTGTGTCGCTCGACTGGAATGGGTACGTGCTCGCGTCGGGGAGTGACGATCATAGCGTTCGGATCTGGGATCTGCGGAAGCGACAGAACGTATACGTGGTCCCAGCCCACGACGGGATGGTGTCGACGGTGCGGTTCTCCGCATCTGGGGAGATTTTGGCCACGAGCTCGTTTGACGGCAGCATCAAGCTGTGGCGAAGTCGCAACTGGACGCTGCTGAGCGTCCTCAAGGGCCACGATGGCAAAGTCATGGCGATGGACGTCGCCCCCGACGAAAAGCATTTGGTGTCCATCGGGTTTGATCGAACGTTCAAGACGTGGGCACCAGACACCGAGTGTTAAACAAGGAATACATAGAAGAAGGATGATCTCGGACAGTTTGAAGGCTCATGCCAGGCTGAACTGGGTTGGTATACGTACTGTGTAACGAACCACACTTTCAGACAATATTGTACTCGGCAGCGTATTTTAGGTTACCCCTCATTACTATGGCCTTCAAAACTACTAAGTACCTACTGTTTGAATCGCAAAATTGCTCGTTAATTGTAAACAAATCCATGTGCAAATAGTTTCGAATTTATTTCACCTAATATAAAATGCGATGGGGATTTCGGCAAGTAACTGCAATATGAAACCACCAACAACCACATAAACGAATGTGCCTTTCCCATCAAATTGGCCATCTACCGAGTCATCTCACAGCTACAGTAACATGGAGGAACAGCGGCCAAGGTTCTTTACAGTGCTACCTTCCAGCAGCCCCACGCACATGACCGTGGTGAACGGATACTCGCGCAACAAAGCCCCCGTGATGTCCGACATGTACTGCATAGACATCACCATCTGCCGATCCTTAGCTTTCATGTAGAGCCAATTCCCGCGCGGTGAAGCGGCGATCTGGCCTGGACTCGTTGTCCAAGGAAGTGCTTGCAAAAATGGCCTACAGACGACTTCGAGCCAAGCGACGCCTTGTGATCGCGTTGCCGTCAGCGCTCAAGAATAATCAACCGTCCAGCGCCGCCCTAGATATGACCAACGAGATGATCAGCAATAACTCATCGACGACTCAAACCATGACGTTGTCCCTGCCCGTGAACGAAAGGCGCAAACACTCGGATTTACTCGACCTGCTCATGAAACCTGTACACTTAGCATCTATGAACGAGCCCGTACAATCAAAGCAAGCTGTCTAGGTAATGCAAGTCAGTGCGATCGATCGACCGCAAGCCATCCCCATGCCCCCCATATTGCTCCCCCAGTCCTTCCTAGACGATAATCCAACCCCCAAAGAGATGATGCATGCTGGACTTCTCCTCGATCCGACTACAGTGCCGCTCCCGTCCCTGCCTAGCATAGACAGCCCCGCTACTGCCATGCAGTTCCCATCCTACGCCGCCGCGGCAGACGTCGAGGAAATGACCAAAGCCCCACCCAAAGTCTCAGTGCACAGCCACCAAAAACGTCATCAGGCCAACGGAGCCACTCCAGGGGGAACTGCAGGAGGAGGACGGGACGACGCGGGGGGAAGTGCGGCGGCGGCGGCTGCTGCCGACATGGAAGAGATCGACAGGAAGCGCGCGGAGATGCAATTGGCCCCCCTGAATGGCGGCGCGACCGACGAGCAGTTTGAAGTGAAACTGCTCAAGAAAATTGTGAACCGGTCGCGGGTGATGAAAAAGTACATGAACCCCAACGCGTTGACTAGGGAAATGATGACCGACATTCCACGCGACTCGTTGTTCAACGTGATGGAAAACCCATCGGACATTCGGACTGGCGGCGTGGACGGGATGGACATGCCGCGCACGCCGCCGCCACTGGGGTCGCTGCACCACCAGAATCGGCCACGCAACGTGTTGATGACAGGAACGGAGGACGCCGCCGCCGCCACCAACTTGAACCATTCCGTACGCGCGTCGCATCGCAATACCATTTCGCTCGAGGCGCGCCACAAAGACGTGCACAATTTGGGCGACGACGACAATGACGAGCAATCGCCCGAAGACCGGCGCAAGAGCACCAACTTGTTTCAAAAGTTCTGCCACTACATTGTGCACAAGCAGCGCACCAAGTACCAGCTGCGGACAAGCGTCAACATCATCAGCGAGATCGACTGCCCCGAGGCCGGCGGCTTGGACGCGCTCAAGAAAAAGGCGCCGATACCCCGCCGGCAGCAGGACCGCGACGCCGCCAAGTCGTTCTTATCAGGCGTCGACGTGGTGCTGACGCTGGACGAATTGTACGAAGAGGCTGTGGTCGCCGAGAAAGCGCGCAATTGGCGGCGGGCGACCATGCTGGCGTCTGCGTGCATCAGCATGGAGAAGGAGTGGACAGAACCCTTGCTGTTGCGTGCACGGCTGTGTCGACGCCTCGGGTTATGGTATTGTCCTTTTACCCTGAATTTGGACTTTTGCGCTGATTCGCCAAATCTTTCGATCGATAGTTTGTGTATGTAAACATCGTCCAGTATATTTCAGTCACACACGAATTCGATGTTGTTGAATTGGTCGAAGAGTGACTTGATTGGTCACTTGATTATTGTTGTGGGTTTTGATTGGTCGATCGATTGTCTGCCGATTTGGTGCTGCCATCATGTTTGAGTCTAAAACAATTTTTGCCATTGGGCACCCCACTCCCATTTCGAATCGACTTGACAATGTGTGACAAGGTGGAATGGTTGTAAAGGCCAGTTGTTGGGGGGGGGGGTTGTCCGACAAGAGGTTATTTTGCTGTGCTGCTGCTCGTAGATTGTAGTTCGTTCATATTCTAGTTGAAAACGACAAAGTCGATTAACCGTGCAATTAACCCTAGGACGCAAGCCCTGAAAGATCTGACGTCGGTACGTAACCGTGCGATACTGTGCTAGGCAGTATGTTGTTCTTTGCGACGTCAGAAGGAGTAGATAGTGTGCTTGGTATTCTTCCTGTGAGCTAAACTAAGCTAAGTCTAGGCGCTTCGACTGTGCCCCAACCACCAGCGTTTGCTGCTTCAACGAGCTCACGTGCACACGCAGATGCAAGAGTTCCACTCGGCCATTGTTGATCTGTCGCATGTGCTGAACCAGCAGCCCAATTCTGCCGAGGCGCTGCTACTTCGATCCAAAGTTTACGCCAAGCAAGGACACACCACGTTGGCGATTAAAGTATGATATGCAATCTAGCCTGTATATTTCTATTTTCTACCACTATAACTTTCCCTTCGCGTAGGACTTGACTGCCATTACAAAAAACGACCCAAAGAACTGGCGGGCCTACTACGAGCGTGCGTACCTCCGACACAAACAGGTCGAAGGCATGGGGGACGACAGCTCGAGCCTCCAGCCCCCCATGTCCAAGGAAAACAAAGCCGACGCTGCTGACGCTGCGTCCCACACTGCCGTCACGTACTCTCCTCCTAGTCCATAAAACTTCTATCTCTGAATGCACTGACTATATATAGCAACATTCCGTCGCTGATTGGGCAAACGATCGACGACTACATGCAAGCAATCCGAACGGGGTGCTACTTGAACGATGTGATTGAAACCGTCGGGGACCTGACGATCCGCCTCGTCGAGTGGACACACGATGCCAAGCACTGCTTGCAAGTCGTGGGTGGCCTCGCCGCCTTGATCGCTCTCATGGACGAGACGGAGGGCAAGCTCAAGGACCAGCGGCGGGCGGCAGCCAAGGCACAATCAATAACGTCGTCGCATGACACGACCTTGTGGGAACTCGAAGAAGACCGACTCGCAAAGGTGATCGCGTGTCTGCTTACCCAGCGCGGCCGGCTGTACATTTTGGTATGCAAGAAATGGTGGCACCAAGTGATAAATATGTGACGTCGTTTGAGGTGTATTTGCTCGTGTTTGAACTTGATTCTTTAAAGTAGTTTACACACTGAGGTTGGTAATTTTGGTATGGCAACTTGTGCTCGGCTCGTAACCACTAACTTACTGTATGTATATATTAATGTATACCTTATGGATCAATGGTACCTACGATATTTTGCCTTATCGCGGTAGACTAAACAGACTATTTAGTTTGCGATGCATGGGATTTGAACGCATCATATTATTAGCTTCGTAGTACACTCAAACCATGCAATGTGTGGCACAGATCGGCCAACACACAAAGGCGTCGACAGACTTGGACCGAGCCGTGATCATGGACTACCATTACGCGCCGGCCCATTTTTACCGCGGCGCCGTCGCCAGCGTCCACGCATGCGACGACGCGAGTCGCAAAGTGGTGATCCACCATCTGAACCGATGCATCCATTTGGACCCGACCATCACGGGCGCGTACATCGTCCGGGGGGGTATCTACTGCGCCGACCTTCGCTTCAACAACGCCCTGCAGGACTTCAAGGCGGCTGTGACCATCGACCCGACCCTGGACGACATTTGGATCCAAATCGCTATTGTGTTCCTCACCCATTACCACGACTGCGATGCCAGTGCCAAAGCCTGTACCCGGGCACTCAAGAACGACTTGGGGCTGACGCAAGCCCTCCACCTGCGCGGCGAAGCGCTGGCACGCCAGGGCAACCTCAAAGCGGCGGTACGATCATTCGTTCTTTGTAATGCTGTCTGTTGGGGTTGTAGTTGTTTTGTCCATATGTTTGAAGTGATTGGGGTGGTTGACGGGATGCATATAGATGCGGGACTTCGTGCGGCTGGTAGTGATGCAGCCCACAGATCGCTTTGCGCACTTGATGAAAGGCAAGTTGCTGCTTCAGCTAGACCATGCGCGGCCGGCGCTGTACGCGTACAAGCAGTTTATGGAGATGGACAGTGAACTCGAGACCATGGACCGCATCACGCGCGGCAAAGCTTACAAGGTATGTCTCGTAGTTACGACGTTATCGCATGTCTGTCTGTCATGACGTTGTCGCAGTTTTGTTTATGAAAGTGACGACTCCACTTGTTGGGATATGTGTATGATTAGGTCCTGTCACAACATTCGCAGGCGGTGCAAGAGTTCAAACTCGCCGTGGACGCCAACCCAAGCCCTGAAAACCTGTGCTTGTTGTCCGAGTCGTTGCATTCAATGGGCGACACGGAAGCGTCTCTCCATGTGATCAACCTCGCGATCGCATCCGACCCGGGCTGTGCCAAGAGTTATGTGCGGCGCGCGCAGTGCTATATTGGCAATCACGCGTACAAGGTGCGGTGCTCCTCCTAGTGTTGACCATGACCCCCCCCTCTTTACGATTATTATATATACGTAACAACAACAAGCACACAATACGTTATCCCTATTCTCACCAAATTACAACACACCTGCAGGATGACTCGAACGATCCAAAAATCTAATACTATGTGGTGGTGATGATAGACTGCCATTTTGGACTACGACCATGCTCTCACATTGGCCGACAAGTCGGAACTGTATCGCATGTACTACGAGCGTGCGTTGTGTCGGAGCCAGCTGCTCAGCAAGGCGTGGAACCAACTGTATGCGATGCAGCGTGGCGAGCGCGTGCCTTGTTATTACGAAAACAACTTTCAGTCGGGCCAGCCGCTGCCTGTGACACTGTCCGCCACCGACATGAACCCGACATGCATGACAGCGTTCATCAAGCAAACGTACGTGGACACGGCCGCAGACTTTACCAAGTCCATGAAAGCCAGCGAAGTCATGAGCGATCCGTACGTCGAGCGCGCGGCGCTGTACGCCCTCGGCGGAGAGTTCAATCGCGCCTACGACGACCTCGCCACCGCCATCAAAATCGACCCGCACAACCTGAACGCGTATATCAGCGCAGGAGTGCTCAAGTGCAAATTCTCCATGTACACGGCTAGCATCGAGTGCTTCGACAAGGTAAACAACTCATAGTATGTATCCTCTGTAATATGAGCGACAAGACTCATACAACCGCTACTTGCGGTGCAGGCACTCAAGTTCCACCCCCACTGCGCGCTCGCCTACTACAACCGTGGCGTGGCGTACCATATTTTGAACGTGTGGGCGCAAGCCGACTCGGACTATACCAAATCCATCGCCCTCGATCCAACCAACATGGACGCGCTGCGGAATCGCGGCATCGCGCGCTGCCATCTCATGAACTTCCAAGGCGGTACGTATAATTGTCATGTCTGTTCCCGTCGAGTTGACCATTTGGTGTGTTGTTTGTAGCGGCCGAAGATTTTGAAGACGTGCACAAGAACGCACCCGACGACATGGAGCTACACATGGGACTCGGCTACGTGTACTTGAAGTTGAGCCGGTTCACCGAAGCCATCGCGTTGTTTAGGTCGTTGTCGAGCAAAAATCCTGTGGCCATCGACGCCTACTTGGACGCAGGCAACACGTTCTTTACCATGGCCCTGTGCATGACGGACTCGACCAACATGACGGCGGCAGCGGCGTCGGCAGCGCTGGCCACCACCAACGCGCCGGCGCTGTCCAAGGCCGACACGAGCAAGTCGTTGCTGCAGCAGTCGCTGCACTGCTACCTCCGCGCCACACGTATCAACCCAACCGATGTCAACATCCGACTCAACCTCGCCGCCTTGTTTCGGGCCAAAGGGGATGAGTCCAACGCCGTACGTACTTGTCTTGTCATGCATTGGATTCATTATTACAACATTAATCACGGATGTAGTGGTCTATATTTGAGTAGTCCTGTTGTCTTCGTTTCTATTGTAGTTGCTGTAGGTAGTTAGTATTGAAGTTGCCATTGGGATTGTGGTTTCTGATATGGTTGACATTGCTCTGTTGGAATTGCTGTTGCTGTTGTGTTGGAGATTGGGGGGGTGCTGTTGTGGTCGTTGTAGTAGTAGCGTTGCTATAGAGTATTGAACTCTATCGTTTGTGGCTCTGGTTGTTGGGAGTCCGACACCCTCTGTGTGTGTAAAAATATAGTGTTAGCAGATTAGAACCATACCAATACTAATATGGTCAAACGGTTGTTCTAGTCGCGGCAATACAGCGTTGTGATGGCGCTGGACCCGACCAACCAGGACTTTCATGACGAAAGGGCCATGATGCTGCTCGAAACCGGCCAATTCGCACACGCGATGGAGCATATGAATGCTGCGGTCAACATTTCCGTGGCTTTAAGTCCGATCGTTGCAATGGAGTACACATTGCTCGTCAAGAACAAGGCCATGGCGCTGCATGAACTCCACCGCCGGCGCCAGCAGCTCACGCCGTCTGCCCCGCGTACGTCCGCCATCTACTTGCACTTGATCGTTATTATGATATATTGATACTCCAATCTTGCTCTAGACCCAACGAAACGTGCCGAAGAAAATGGCGGGCGGACGCGGCGCATGTCTGTGGCGGCAGAGGTGCTAGCCGACAAAAAGTCGATTCTCGGCATCAAGAAGACCCTCTCGGTGCATCTCGCCAATCGCGGCAAAGTACACGAACTCATGCTCGACGTCGACGCTGCCCGACTCGACTACTTGAACGCTGTGTACTTTGATCCGTTGAATTTTGACGTGTACTTTCATTTGGTACAGTACACAATACTAGTTAGTAGTATAGACCCACCAAACCACCAATCAAAACAAACGATTGTCCCACTCTCACATGGGGGTAGGGGACGCTGGCGGTCCACGACCGCAACCTGAACGACGCGATTGAGTACTTTTCACAAGCCCTTGTGATCAATCCCAAGCTGGGCGTTGCCAGTGTCAACCTTGGCGTGGTTTACTTGCTGCTCCAGTCATATGATTTGGCCTTGTACCACTTGGATATGGCGAGTACGTTGATCCCCGACTGCGCGTTTGTATGGGCGAACAAGGCGTGTGTGTATTTAAAGCTGGACCGCGTCGACGACGCCGTGTGTAATTTCTCGTATGCGATGAAGTGCATGCCTACGTTTGCCCCGTTCTACGTGTACCGAGGCCGGTTGCTGTCGTCCCAAAAGCACTTGCACGATGCCATGGTCGATTTTGCAGCCGCCCTGAAAATGGGCTATACGGGCGAGTTGTAGCTTGTCATAGTACCAGCATGTATAATGAGTTGTCTACTATGACAAATAGTAAAACTAGTATTTTATTGTTGTTTTTGTTATCAAATTTCCCATGGTCATTATCCAGAGGTACTGTGTGTGTACTACGGGTAACTCATTTCGCCCTTTCCGATAGGAAATCGAAATAGATTGTAGCCAATCAGCAACAAATAATTTGGGATTGACCAATGGGAGAGATTGGTGCTTTTGCATGCCATGAACGTTGTCGCTCCAATACAGTATGGGAAAAATCGAACGAAAAGATTTCGAAGTTATTATTGCCACTTACGAGTGTAATGTTCAAGTGTAACTTGCCTTAAACCTGGCGGCGTGAAACCGCCATATCATTGCCCTACCGCAACTCCAAAACGGAGATGGGTCGTCGTATGCATTTCAATGTCCGACTTGTGGCTGTGTGGGCAGCAATCGTCGCCAGTGTCGTGCGCGCCCAAGATGGTACTTGCTTGGCCAGTGGCGTGCCTCCCTACCAAGTATGAACTCATGTCCACCCTCACTCAACCCATATACGTCCTCCGAGCTGAATTCTCGTTGTCGTAGACCAGCACCAAGTACGCCCTGGCGTTTTGCACGCAATTTCAGGCGGCGCGGTGTTGTCTACCGGTCCACGACAATGCCATTCAACGTGAATACGTGAATTTACTCGCGTCAAGTACGTACACATTCATATCACCTTAGATATGAAGTTGTACAACTCCTAGGTACAGTGTGCGCAGAGATGCTCAACGTCCACAAGAGCACTCTAGCCCATATTATGTGCGCCTCGTGCAACCCCCAGTCTCCCCAATTCCTGTCTCCCCCACGCAACCCAGGCTTCTTCTCAGGCCAGACCACGTTCAAAGTATGTGCGAGTTTTGCCGCCGCGGTCGCCCCCTCTTCGTTTGACCAGTGCGGGCTGAGCCAGCAAGCGTACCGGTACTCCCCATGCACCCCCACCAACCCCGTACGTCCCTTCCTCTGAACGTTCTAGAGCTACCGGTAGTGGCTTAGTCACTTGTATTGGTCCAGGTCAGCGCATCCGCCGCCTGGCCTGACACGTGCGCGGACGGCATGTTCGTGTGCCAGTCCAAAGCTACGCAGGCGTTCTCGTGCCAGCCGACCCCCTGCGCCAGTGACGACGTGCCCACGGGGTTTGCTAACACCCCCTGTTCAAACTACACGTGCACGTCCAGCGCCATGTTCCTCAACGACAACGGCGGTGCCAAGCCCGTCTTTTACGAGAAGGTGGCGGTAGAGATCATCGACGACATCAACAGTGGTCCGTGCTTTGAGCCTGTATTGGTCCACAGCAGCGCTTCGGGGGTCGGGTGGCAAGTGACAACGCTCCTGGTCGTGGGGTGGTATTGGGGGGGGTGGGCGTGCCAGTAAAGCATATCCTTATATAAAAGCGATGTAAACATGTATGAGAGCATACTACAACTCTCGAACACAAGCACAATAATCAAGTGTAAGCTTAGGTTCAACGGTTGAACGAGTTTACAAGATGAACCTACCATAGCAAGGCCAGTACCCGTGGTCGATCCGATTTGTGACATCTCATCGCTTAACCGATTTGTTTTTTCGTTCAGCGCAACACCTCATACTTGTATGGAAATTTCAAATATATATATTAGATTAGGGGGCTTCGAAAATTATAGTAACCCTCCTCCTAAACGATGATCCAAAACGCAACGACGACGAGTTATTAAGGTTATACGACTGTACGTACATAGCACTAGTATACATGCTATTCCTAAGCTTAGTCCTATGATTGAAACAATCAAATAGAACAAACTTGTCCCTGCCGTCCATTCAATTTGCATCCGTTTGTGTGCGAGCAAGTGGCGCACAAGTCAATGGCGTTAACGTCACAATGTTGATATTGTAGGTATGAACAATAGATATATAATAAACCTGTACGAAAGCTCGGATATATACGACGACCCTTCACTTGGCAATGCCGTTCGAGTACTCTTGGAACTGGTCGTACTTGGCCGTGCCAAAGTTGTCGAACGCCTTGTGAATCAGCCCCTCCACCACCCGCCCCACTTTGTCTTCGGGGACGTTCAGGAACAGCCGGTCGCGAAAAGCTTGGAGCGTCGCCGTGACGTTTCCTAAGATGACGACAATGGTGACGACATTGGTGACGAAAGCAGAAAAGAACGTGGTGAGAAGAAGCATCTTCGAAATAATTATACCGCTAAAACAGGGCAGCTTGGAGTGGAAACTCATCACTTCCACAAGCGTATACAGCGTTTCACCGTGCCGCCGCGCCGCCACCGCCGCCTGGATGCACAGGTCCGTAAATGTTTTGAAGTTGGCCGAATCTTTGCCGCCCATGCACTCGACCATCTCCATCGTGAGTTTGAACGGCGCCGTCTCAAAGCTAAACGACCCCCCCGGCGCCCGGCCCAAGACTAGTAAAAAATATTATATATTTCATCCTGGAACGCAAGCCATGCAAACTAGCCGAGCAGGCGATATATTTATATATATATGTACATGTTTTTTGTCGTGTCGACAATAGCTAAAGGCTGTGCAGACCCATACAATAGCAATACGCCAACCCGAAAATTATCCTTTAAATATTGACCTCGAACCCATGAAAATCGATCAATTATATATATATATACTGTATATACTTGTACATAAATAGGTACGTACAAAAGCCAAAGTCAATGTGCACGACGTGGCCTTCGACGTCGAGGAGGATGTTGCCGTTGTGTCGATCTTTAATGCACAAGATATAACACACGATCGAGTACGCCGCTACGACAAAGGTATCAGTAAATATATATATATATATGTATCCTACCCAGACTTTGGACAAAGTTACTCGACGCTGTGTGGAACATGGTGCTGTTGGTGGCGCCATAGATCGATTCAAAGTGATTTCGTAGGGATTTGAACCCAGGACTCTTCTTCAGCCCGTCAAATGACGTGGCGTTCGCAACGAGCTCGATCAGTCCGGTGCTGGCGCCTGTCGACAGAATACGGTATGGATGCAGCTTGAGCTTGAGGTGCTCGCGCTTGAACACATCGTCCAGGTACGAGATGAGCTGCATAACCAGCACTTCCTGGCGCAGGTCGTCGTAGCTCTACTCGAAACCATGGTACACAATCCAACCAAATGTATATATGTATCATCAAGACGCACATACACACACAGTCAGCCCAAATGCTGCGAAAAGACAGAATGAACATCAAATTTGCCCCAATCGAATGAATCGGCAGACAATCGATCGACCAATCAAAACTCAGCACACTAATCAAGTGGCCAATCAAATGCACTCTTTGACCAATTCAACATCGAATTAGTGTGTAAACGGAGATGACATGTTCAAATTGCAAATGAAAATGACGCAAATATGCGAACGATGACACAATTAGGCCAACAATATAGGCAAAAACCTTGGCAATGAACGACTGCAAGTGCACTCCGTCCCCGTGCGGGTGGTGTGCGTGGGCTAACCGGGCACTCTTTTGGCACTTGAGTTCTCCAAATATGGCCGCCAGCTTAGTTCGTCTGTCGTCGTCCTATCGTCATGATCAATATCTTTATCACAACATATATCCTCATCATCATCGTTGTCACAGAAACAACTGGCGTACCATGAGCAGTTCGTCGATGAACGGCGTCGACTCGTTCAGCACGGGAGCGTTGCATTTCACCGTGTCAATGTGCTCGTCCTGGGCATGCAAATGCGCAAACAACGCGCACGACACGTCCATATTGGCCGAGTTGGGCGTGGTGAGGAAATGCATTAGCACCGGGGCTCGTTCCTAGATCGATCAATAATAGTACAGTACTAGTATTAGATATAGGGTGTCGAACCACAATACACATAATACTTGATCCTTCTAAAATATATATATAGGGTTTCGTGTTTAGAATTCTATAAATCTCATTTTGATCCATACAAAAGTACGTTTCTACAGTCTAGGTAGACAACATATATATCTATTTTACGATACATTCCAATACGTTTACAAACTATATTCACGTCATAAAACGACCAAATATTGATCGTGGGACAAAAACCGAGTCAGCAGTAGTCGTACATGGGTTTTGAAGACGTAGCCTTCTTGGGCACACACAGCTGCGACGTGGTAAAAGTGGTCGGTGGATCGACAGAGCGGCAGGTACGCATACTTGGGAAGGGTTTCGTGGAGACGGGTGAGTTTAGTTGGGAGGAGTTCCTTTCGCTTGGACACGTCCACAAGGCGCAAGTCTTCGCAAATGTCTGTGATCGCCTTGACAAATGAGATTTGCGCCGTAAAAAAGTCGTATCGCATTTGCTCATCCGACGTCAAATGGACTGGAGCCGACCCTGACGACGTGCGTGCGTTTCGAATGGACGAGTTGTCTTGGGGGGTACCAATACCCCCAGCAACTTTCTCCGCAACGAAAATGTCGTTGTGTTGTTCGGTCGATGGAGGATCCACCACGGGGGCGGCCTTGGACACTTCGTGCTCTTTGCCACTATCGGCGTTCTTGTTGTCAGCCAACGAAGCACCGCCATCAGCAGCAGCAGCAGCAGGGGACGGCTCGGTCAAGATGACCGCGTCGTCGTCGTCGTCGTCGCTATTTCTCCGTTCAGGCTCGAGAATGAACGACCGCATGCGATCGGACATGCGCTCGATGGCGCGGGACGGCCCCACCTTGGACGGGGACGATGGAGGGGGCCCGGGGGGAGCTGAGGCGACGTCCACTTTGTCTACCCACTCCTGGAGGTCTTGGGCAGTCAACGCGGCAAACTACATACAAAACATAAGCAAAAAGAACCCAACGACAAGCTAAAGTACCTTGAATGTTGTGTTGCTAAAACTGTGGTGGATCTCAAAGTAATGATGCCGTTTGGGGTTTGCAATAACTCGAACCTACAGCGCCTCCGACTTAGACTTGTGGGATGGTCGACGAGTAGTTAGTTGTAGCTAGGATAAATACCTCTGCCCGTTCAAGAGGAATTGTGTTGCGGGCATGACGATCGTGACGGTTGTTGTAAATGAACAGGATCTTGCGCTCGATGCAGCACCACCGACGATGCCAGCTCCGGCGGCCCAGTTTGCTCGTGCCGCCCCCTTTCTTGTACAGCCATCTAGTCGTGGCCACAGGGGGAAAATGTATGGAGATTTGGAGTTTAATGGGGTAATCACGTCGACATAAGGGCAAGAAGGACGTTAATTTACCCTTCAAATGACTCTTCTACAAGCGACATGCACGCACTAGATTGAGCGGCAAAGAACCGACGGTCGGCTTTGAGAATCAACCCCATTTCCGCCTTGGAGATCTGATGGCTGGCAAACAATTCCTACCATTCGTTATTATTCCATGCCTCTAATCAACCGTATATGTGACCATAGAGCGTAGCCATGTCGACATGTATATACATATGGCAGTCTCGACCAACCTTGGCTTGCTTGTTCACGGGGGATCCATAGATGAAACACTGCTCCAAGATCACAAGGAGCTGCGCACACCGCGTAAACGTGCGCGGGTTGCCGTTCTTCTTGGGCCGATGCTCGTCTAACGCACCGTAGACTATCCAAAAGAACTGCAGCGCAAAGTGGCTGCTACTCAGCGACAAGAGCATCACAAACTGCTCCATCGCCTCCATCGGCAGCTCCTTTTCCAAGTGGAGCACCATGTGGGACAGCTAGCATGTACGCAGCAATATGGGATGTGGCTTGGTGGTCTGTACAAGATGGCATGTGTACCTGAGGAAGGTAAAAGTCCACCTGATCCAAGATGGGCCGTGTGTTGGTGAGCTTGCTCAGCTCGTCGCACAACGAGTTGGTGAACGCGACGTTCTTGCGGTGCTTCCAAATGGAGATCATGAGCAGGCGCATGTCGATGACTCCATCATGGACAAGCGGGCGCGTTGATGTCGGGCCGAACGAGCTATCATGAGGAATGCCATCCACGAACGACTTCGTCGGACTTCTCGGGACAGGAGGAGGTACGTCCACAGGAGCCACGGGAAAAGGAGGAAGCGGTGTCGTCTCCGTGTCGGCGGCAACCACCTCCATAGCTCACACACAAAATAGAAGTATACGCGTGGGCGTAACGAACTCCCAAGTGGTGGCCTGTTGGAGTGATCTCCTGGACTTGTCACGAGTGGTGCAGTTACAAATTCTGAAACGTCGTCGTCCGGAAATATCCGGACTCGATAGTACGAAGAGTCTGATTATAACAAAGTGCATGTTGGCCGCTGTTATGAGTTGCATATGGCTGGCGTTCCGAACGAAGTGAGCTATACAATAATGTAAGTTACTTACATGTAAATTTACAAGTAGAGATCACTCGGGAGAAGAAGGCTGGCTCTACATAGGCTTTTATCGTGATTGCTTTAGGGTTGCCACTGTACATTTGGACGATTGAAAGAGGAGTGCTTGAACGGAGGGGCATACATATCAGTTGCAACAACAGCCAGCGGTGTTTTATTTCCATAAAGTTGTGGTTTCGTAGCTCAGTCAAGTTGTATGCAGATGGTTCTTGGGGGCCGCGATGGAGCATTGCATCATGAGCTTCTGCAGTACCTAGAGTAATACTAGTACTGTAGTAGTACGAGATTTTGGTTGACTGTCAGTTTTTTCGTCGCTTGGGTCGGATTGGTGGATTTTGAAAAGTGTTATTATTTCGCACTTTTCGCCAAATACTTGTTAGGTTTGGTCACTATTTTGGAAAAATTCAAATTTGCGTCAATACCAGAATTGACAATTCACACAATGGTGTTTCGGGTGGCAGCGCCGCGGTTCGAGTCGGACCATGACCACGACCAGGATGTGAAGCAAAGCAACCGATTGTTTGACCTCATGTCGCATGAGATCATCGAGCAGCGCCTGGAAAACCTCAAGAGAAAGCCCAAATGGACTCAGTGGCTCGATGCGTACGTCCACAAGTTGGACAGGGATGGCCACGACGACGACGAGTGGACTCCACGAGGGGGGACGAACGTGACCGCAAAAGGCCGTGAAACCCATGGAGCTAAGCGATCCGGCTTCTTCTCGCACGTGTTTTGGACGATCGTCGGCCTTGTGTCGATGCCATTCATCGTGCTGTTTTGCGTTCCGTTTCAGCGTTTTTACTCACCATAGTAACCCTGCGCGAGTTGAATGTATGGTTAACGCTTCTTACGTAGCATGTGGCCTCTGGGATGCCATTCGCCGACGAGCTTCCTCAAGCAAGCAGTGCTCAATGCATGCACAATCGTTTTGATCGTAGCAGTGGCGTACTGGACCCTCTGCGACGAGCTCCCTACCCGACACATGGAGACAAACGTGGCGCTGGTGCGGCAGCATGCGTCCATTCTGTACTTGAAGCTAGTTCATTGCGCCCACAACCTACGCGTATCCGACGACATTGCCAGCTTGAAGTGGTTGCAAGCGATCGTGGAAGGGGGCAGCATGGCGTCATTCGAGTGGCCTGTCACTGTGCCAAGGGAGTGCCTTGGTCCTATTCTGGACGCCCTCGTCATGGCCGCCTTTCTTGGCCTTTTGCTCAACTTTTACTCCAAGTGGTCTAGGTAGTGTGTGTAGATGATAGTTACCTGCATGTTTGCATTCTCATCTGAACGACCGACCTCTTCATCGTAGGTATGCCATCTTCACTTTCGTGCTGGTTCAGTATACGCTTTCTTCGCCATATGTGCAAACGGTGTGGACGCCGCGGCCCGCCATCACGTCGTTAGAGCCTGCATATGCGATGCTGGACGAGCCACTGGTGGTGACTGTGGAGGGCGACCACCTGCAGCCGGGCGGCACTGTCGCATGGATTCCATTTTGGTGCGCGCCGTCGACGTATGCATCATCAGACGCGTTCTTCGTGGGCGACTGCGACAAGCAATTCGGCGCGCCTTTTGCCGCCGGCGTCGTGCACGTCACGTTCACGTTGGTCGACACGTTCATCCCGTGCTACAAGCACCCGCCCAACCCAGTGCACCCCCAAGTGTTTGAGTGCTTTGATGCGTTTCAGATCCGAGTCAAGACCAGGCAAAACATACCCGGCTTGTACGTGAAACCAAACACGATCACGGTCGAGCTCTCGGCGGACGACACCGTCGTCGTTTGAAGCCTCCAGCATCGCTCTTGTGTATATGGCAGCATCAAATCTCTATTTAATTGCATGGTGCAGTTTTTTTATTACATAGTCGCGAAGTCTATGTATGTGGTTACGTTGGGCGCCGAACGCCCCGTCGTCTGTTTAAGCATCACATTTCAAGAATAGTATCGTGGTAATTTAACGATATATATATATATATATATATATATATATATATATATATATGATATTATTACCACTATATTCTTGAAATATTATATAATCCTATTTGAAGAATATAGTGGTAATACGTAACATCATATACATGTATTAATACTAGTTAGTACCTTCGAAATACTATTAATAGTATACTCAATACTATTAATAGTATGCTCTGTAATAGTATACTCTGGGTGGGGTCGGTCGGTTCACAGTTAACAATGTAATTTTCGTTCGTTTCTAGCGATTTGATTGGCTTATCATAAATTCAAGTAAACCCATTGGCCAATTTGAAACTGTGTTTTGTATGTACTTCGAAGTACTTTAAAACACTGGGACTTGTGTTTTCTATATCATTGGTGTTTGACACCAACACTCTGCGAGAGAATGTTTGCTTCCGGACAGGGAAGGACAAGAGGAACTTCATTTTGAAAGCAACGAGAAGAGCATGGCGAGCAAGATCCCCGCGACGTTCAAGGCCGTGACGCCGTTCATACGACGGGCAGAAGAGCTGGATCGGGACCGAAGCCGCCCCGAAAGCCAGATGGTGGCGTACTATTGTCGACAATACGCTATGGAGCTTGGGATCAAGCTTCGGAACCACGACGCGTCGGACGAAGCGTCCAACTACTTGCTTTCCCTCATGGAAGCGCTGGAATTGGAGATGCGCTCGTTGCCTGCGCACACTCATGAAGAAGGTCGCATCATCTGCGAGAACTTTGCCTATGACATCTTCATGCGAGCCGACGAAGAAGATCGCAACGGCGGCTCCAACAAGTTTGACGCGCCTTTCCCATCTCCTTATCTCATGGATGCTTCCTTGTAGGAACACTGCTCGTACATTCTATGCGGCCGGGAGCTTCTTCGACATTTTGAAGCAGTTTGGACCTCCCAGCGAAGACGTGTTGGAAAAGACAAAGTACAGCAAATTCAAGGCCGCCGACATTCTGAAAGCCATCAAAGAAGGCCGAACTCCCACGCCTGGAGCTCCCAGCGAACAAGTACGTCTCTCGCCTTCCCCATCTCGATGACCACTCGTAGCTAATGCCAACGTCCATGGTAGATCCCAAACTCCGCCGCCGTCGACGCCATTGGCACCGCAGGAGCACCTGCGCAACAGCAATTCGTCGCAGCCCCTTCCCCGCCAGCCCCTGCTCCTTCCAACGCCCCCGATTTCCCAAACATGGCGGCATTTAGCTACGATATTCAACAACCACGACCAGCACCTGTCGAACCCGAATTCCAACAGCAACCGCCACGGTATACCCCACCTCCACAAGCAGGTAAAGTAACGAGCGACTGCACTCTGCTTTCACATGCGTGTAACTCTACTCGAATACTATTTTTGACTTCCATGGATGTAGTGGCACCGCCGCCTTCTCCACCTGCTTACGCGCCACCGCCGTCCGCGCCGCAGTATGCCCCGCCTCCGACCCCTCCCCAGTTGACGCAGCCAACGTACTCTGAACCGGCCCCCCAACGATCCATTCCATCGTACCAACCGCAACCTGTGACTGCTGGTCCAGCTCGGACAGGAGAGGGGTGGTCGCAAAACAACATCAACGACGCCATGGAGTGCGCCAAGTTTGCCGCGGCGGCGCTCAAGGTACAGGAACGAATATGGAATCGCCTGACATTCAACACAATGCATGCCTCGTGGATTGTAGTCGCGAGAGGTGGAGCTGGCGATTCAGCGGCTGGAACAAGCTCTCCAGTGTTTGCGTTAAAACGAAGATGGCAGTGTTGGGTGCTGCTTATGCTTTGGGCGTAGCTCGTTTTCGACCTGGGAGCGCACTCAACGTCGCTTGGGTCCAGTCGCGCACGTTGGAGTAGTCGACCAAGATCTGAAACACTATCATCACAAACAACATGAGCAGATTGCCCCCTTTCTCCATAGGACTGACTCTCTCTGTACCGTGGTTCACTGTGAGCACCCTTGTGGCTTGACCCATGTCGAGGACCTTGTCCAGAGGCAACTTGGCAGTCTGAATGCCCTGGGCCACTGCTTTGTCGAACGTTGCGCCTTTCAATCGATTGCGGTCGACAATCCCGCCAATGATGTATACCTACGTCAAGTCGATACATTCAAAATTGGAGTGTTTCGGTGCTCAATCGATCACCAAATCAGCAGACAATCGATGATCGACCAATCAAAACCCACAATACTCATCAAGTACCCAATCAGATTCATTCTTCGACCAAGTCAACACCGAATTAGTGTTCGATTGAACTTTGTACGATCTTCACATACAAAAGTCAGTACAAAGAATCGATTGATGATATAGATTTGGAGAATTCACACAAAAGTCAACCAAATTTTGGGTAAAAGAAAGGCAACGATCTTCACATACAAAAGTCAAAGAATCGATTGATAGATTTGGCAAAGAATCAGCAAAAAAGTCCAAATTTTGGGTAAAAGAAAGGCAATATCACATTGTCAACAGTGAATTATCCATCATAGATCGACAGGTCGGTCGTGCCTTGTCGGATTGGAGGTCGTTGATCACGTTGGGGGAATCAGCCGTCAAGTAGACGAGGCTTTCCTTCTTGAACACGTCCATGTATGACTTGGGCGTGGCGCTGCACTACTGGGACGAGCGCATGACGATTCACATTCTTGTGCAGGATGGATCGAAAGAAGGAACGTACGCCGAGCCACGTGCCAAACCCACCGATTTTCACCAAGTTGGCTTCGGTTTCACCCGTCAGGGACGTCAAGAACATGGTCGCTGGCGTGTCGCTGCGCTTGTTGACGCCGTACGAAAACCTGCCGCCCGGCAAAAATGAGAGATGCAGTGAGATGGGAGGGGTAGACAACACATACGTACATGATTTGCTGCGACAACGACTTCTTCTCCCGACTCGTCATGTCCTCTTCGAACCCGCAATCGATGACGATCGTCGACCCTTCATTCGCACGCATGAGGAAACTCTCGCGTTTGAGAATCGACCGTTCTTTCCGCACGAGCACCGCCGCGTCGCTCATGTCCAAAACAGGTTGCTCGACAGCAGGACGCAACGCCTTCTTCTCCTCCTTCTTCAATCGTTTCTTCTCCTTCACAGCGGTCCAAATCTGTTCGCGTTTAAGACGTCGCAGTTGTGTTTTCCCGATTTTCGGGGCCTCATCGGCGAATGCGGAGGCTTCGGATGCTGTATTGTCGTTTCCTGCCTGATCCGTCACCTCTATCTGTGGGTCGTTGTCCACGATATTGCGGCGGGTGTCGTCGCCGCCATCGATCGCATCGATCGAGTCTGCCATGATGGTGTCAAATGTCGATTGGTTTTGCTAGCCAATCATCGGGCTGTTTCGTGTGTTGGATTAAGTGCGAACACGTACTTAACAAAACCCTTCGGCCTTTCGTCCCGCCAAAATGCGAAACCATGCAATTAACACCCGGCGACATGTCCGTCGGGCATGCGCGGCCTTCGCCATTCCATACTTGCCGTCCCTTTCACGTATCTCATGCATCCAAGTGTCTTCTTCTGTTGGACAGGCTACCGCGGCGCATGCAGCTGCGGCGCGATCTGCCCATTGCATTCGACTAAGTTGAACCTTTCTCCAGGTAAGCACCACGCAGCGTAACTTCATGCGTTCACCCAATGCGCTAAGTTTGTTGCGCCGCAACTGCCGGGACAAGCACTGCTCGAGACTTATTTGGAGGTTGATGTGCGTGAGATCCACAGTCGACACGCATGCCACTTGTGGTTCCGACGTCTGGGTCGCCTTGGTCTCCAATTGATTGCTCGATGTGCATGTTGCCTTGTCGTTAACTGCTACCGTCGTGGAAGCGTCGGTCGGAAGGGAGCGTTGGTTTGCGTTAGCTTTTCCATCGGGCCAATGCAATGCAATGGAAGTTCGGGGCGACTGGGCCATCATCGACACAAGCTCGCCAAACATTGCTTCCACTTCGCATAGGGAGGTTGTGGTCGCGGCATGCAGCCCTTGCAAATCGCGCTCGAGACACTCCCCGAGTGTGGTCAACGACTGTTCGCCATACATGAAGGGGGTTCTCGTTGTCCTGGACGATGAAGACAGCATTAGGGGGGGCGCTGTTGGCGGATTGCCGCTTTCACGGCCAGTGGACACTTGGCCCCGACATCCGCGCTGGAGGAACTGCTCCCTAGCTCGCTCGATCGCTGGGTACATCATTTCTCTTCCGTCAATCCTCCGGTTAATCATCCATTCATCCGGATAACCCCCGGATGATCGAATTTCCATCTTTGTACTAATAGAGGTTACCCTGCATGTTTCTCCCTGTAAATGTACATCGTTGAGCCTACATGGACGTCTTAGACCTCCGCCGATCAACGCCGCGCGAAGTGCGTTCTCGCATACGATTGATTGTCGTGGTGGTTGTCGTCCACACGCTGTCGTTTACTGCTGTAGTTCGTAGTATCGTTGGTGCTTTCAAACCTACCGATCAATCGCATCACAACCCCGTACTATCTCAAGGGGAACAAGCTGCTTACGGTACCTCTGGTGCTTGACCCCGCGAGGCTTGCTCGTGGGGCAATTGGAGGCGATGTGGCCCGTGTTGTTGCAGTTGTAGCACGTCTTGTTGCTCAAAGCAGGCAGGTTGTCTCGACGTCGTCCGTTGTCTTCGTTGTATCGAGGCCTGGCCGACCTGTCTTCGTACGACGACCGGCCGCGATGTCCTCGTCCTCCTCCATAGCATTCCTACATGACAACAACCACCCATCAAAAATGGACCAATCAACCGTAAGATTCGAAAAACAGAATTTTCGATCACAAAAAAGAAAACCACCCCAAATATTGTCAATTTGATACAAATTTGGGGAGGGCCAAACCGATCCACAATCAATCTGATTGGTTGAATTTCATTGAGAAGGTTTTGATTGGCTAATAATTTTGAGCTCATCTGAGGTAGCCAATCAAATCGATTTAAATTCCAACGAGAAACCACGCCACAACACGAAATTTCACTCGAAAGCACAATACTATTATAGTACAAATTTTAACAGTGGAAAACATTACGCGACTCGATCGATACATAATATATATATATATATATATATTTACAAACCACGTACAATTACAATGATATCGTTCGTACCTCGTGGGGATGTGGGCCACAGCACTGGGGGCAATAAATACGCTTGTTTGCAGGTCGCGAGTGCGGCACACAGGTCTATTTGATCATTATGATGAGGACATGTCATTCGCGAGCAATGAATTAGATTGATTAATCCGTACGAGATGGCCGCGTTCAAAGCACACCATGCATCGCACATACTTGACGTCGCTAAGTCGAGGGGGACATTCCTAACGACAATCGCGTAAGTCTCATTACGAGCTAGGTGGTTACACTGTGTCGTACTCGGCTGATGTGGTCGGATGCGCCGCAAGTGGCGCAAAAGCTGACGTTCTGTCGACCATTGGGGCAGTTCTACACACACGATGTTTGGCATGACGAGGACATCTGGGGTGAGTGACAGTTTGTACTACTACTGTATGCGACGCACCCGAAGTTCGTGTCCAGGTTCGTGGCATCGATGGCAAAGCAAGTGCGGGCACTCGTTCGATTTGTGGTTTCTGTAGCCGCACATAAAGCATGGACGCAGCACGGTCGAGTTGACGCACGCGTTGGACATGTGGCCGATCTCGCCGCAGTTGAAGCATTTGGTGGTCAGGTCCTTCTTGAAGTACCGTGACTCGGGTCTCGGCCGGGATGCGTTTCCAGGCGGCGGGGCGTTCGGCTTGTCCGGGCGGCCTAGCGGGGGAGATTTCTGCACAATGGGCGCGCCCACGGCCAGTGTTCTGGACGACTCGTCGCCGTCCGAGGCCTCTGCATGCTCGTCATGTTCGTGGTCCGAGGTGGTAGTGTCGCCACGGAAGCGCGTGCCAAAGTCGTCCAAGATGAAGTCCTGCATCGGTTGCAAGTCGACGTCTTCGACCAACGCGGCCGGCGCGCGCGGCGCGAGGAACCGACTCGCCCACTTTGACAACGTGATCGACGTGCGGTTCACGGGAAGCGTTTCGTCGACGTCGGACGACTCGGTGGACGAAGTCGACGCAATAACCTTTTGTACCGACACGAACGACTCGTCCAAGTCGGATTCAGATAATGGGGATCGGAGCGCTGGTCCGCCATTGTTGGTGTTGCCTGGTTTCTTGGCCGAATGTGAGGGCGAGAGTGTAGCCGAAGCGCTACCAGTTGCGACACTAGGCTTGGCCTTTGTCAAGGGATCTGTCGGCTGACTTGGAGACGTGTTGTCTGTCTTCGACTTGATAGCCTTGGCCTGCTTTCGCGTCTGCTGCACCACCTTGCCCTGCGCACCAGCAGACTTGGTTGCGGCTTGCGGCGGTGAAGGGTCCTTTTTCACATGCGCCATCGGGTTGGACATGTCAAAGCACTCATCGTCTTCGCTGTCATCTTCGTGAATGACAATCACCTCCGGGTCGGAGTCCTCCAAGGTCTCTACACGCGACGACGACGACATCCAAGGGCCATGCACCAGTGAAGTTGAAAATACAATACCGTTTTGGTGGTCTCTGTATTTTTATATCGTATTCATTAAAAGAGGTTTAATTTGCCGGGAAAGCAAGTGCTATTTTGGCTCCATTTTCACATTCACAGCGGAACTTACCACATCCACGACCATGGGGATCAAAGGGCTGATGAAGCTATTGACGGACGAAGCACCAGGCTGCGTGAAGGAGCTCCAGATGTCTGCATTGAGCGGACGGAGTGTGGCCATTGATGCCAGTATGGCGCTGTACCAGTTCTTAGTGGCCGTGCGAAGCAACGGCGAGCACGGCGGCGCCGCCCAAATGCTCACAAACGACGCGGGCGACGTCACGTCCCACATCCAAGGCATGTTCAATCGAACGATTCGCTTGATGGAGAATGGACTCAAGCCTGTGTACGTGTTCGACGGGAAGCCGCCCGTGATGAAAGGCGGTGAACTGGCCAAGCGCACGGAGCGGCGACAGACTGCGCAGGGTACTACGACCGAGTCACACCATGATGACGACGATGAAGTGATCCAAACTTCTCCTACTTCTAGACAACTTGAAGACCGCGACCGAAGAAGGCAACGTCGAGGACATTGAAAAGTTCAACAAGCGCTTGGTCCGTGCCACGCCCCAACACAACAACGACTGCAAGGAACTTCTCGCGTACGTCATGCTAATCTCGTCAAAGTTGCATCTGACGGATGCCCATGACCGTAGTTTAATGGGGGTGCCATTCATCAACGCCCCGTGCGAAGCCGAAGCGACGTGTGCCGCGCTGGCCAAGCACAACAAGGTGTTTGCCTCGGGCACGGAAGACATGGACGTGATGACGTTTGGCACGCCGGTGCTCTTTCGTCGGCTGACCATCGCCGCCAGTCGCAAGCTGCCGATTCTGGAAATCAAACTCGATAAGGTGTTGGCCGAACTCGAACTCAGCTACGAACAAGTACGTCTTCGACCACCACCACCACCCCCAACACGTCGTCGCAACCTCGATCTCTTATTCGATGACTCGATCTAGTTTGTCGACTTATGCATCTTGTGCGGGTGTGACTATTGCGATTCCATCCGCGGCGTCGGCCCCAAGAAAGCCTTGTCTGCGATCAAGGAGCACAAATCTATCGAAAACTATGTCACCCACTTGCAAGCCCATCCAAGCAAAGGGGTACTACGTACATACTGTATATACACGACTCGTATATCTTGGTTTTAAAGCTGTGACGACGATGTGTGACGATGTGTAGATCACAGTGCCAGACGAATGGCTCGGCGAAGACGCCATCTACAAGCAAGCGCGCGCCATGTTCCTCGAGCCAGACGTGATCGACATGGCGGACGTGGACATCAAGTGGAAGGACCCGAACGTGGATGATCTGCGCCAATTCCTTGTCGATAAGCACGGATTCAGCCTCGACCGTGTCATGAACGCTATTGAAAAGCTCAAAAAAGCCAAAACATCGCACTCCCAGCAGCGCATGGAGAGCTTCTTCACGGTGTTGCCGTCATCTGACTCGAAATTGAAGCGAAAGGCCGACGACAAGAAAGCGGCCAAGGCCAAGGGAACTGCCGCCGCCAAGCGAGGACGCAAAAAGTAGAAACACCATGATACATGACACACTAGTCTGTAATCTATCTACGAACGTGGTGGATAGAGGAGGCCATAGTGTGTGGCAGTGTGTTCTATCACACTCAGGTTGTTGGCACTGTATCCCAGCCTGGGATACAGTATGTGATGTATCGGCACGTTATGAGGTTGTTGAGATGGTGGGAGCTGGCACCGACGTGAGCCAGGTCATGATGGGAATGCTACCAGTGATGCGTCTTGGGATGCATGGTGTGTACTGCCACATTCGCTTGAGTACATTCTCGACTGTAGCTTGGGAAATGAAGGACTTGGCTAGTATGGATGGCGGAGATGTGCATGTATCTGGCTGCACTTTTGCGTATATATTGGTACTTCTCTGGCTTATGGCTTCAAGTTCAACACTGAACATTGCACTGGACGGTTACATTTCGGTTACGTGGAAACGGATAACCAGCACGACGCTTTAGCATCATCATCATGTCGACGGGGCCGGAGCGCGACGAGGCGTTATCGCAAGCGTTCTTTGAATCGATCGTCGCGTCGGCGCCCACAACCGCCGACCAGCACGACCGGCAGTACCTGATCCAACACCTCCTGCCGTGCCTCGTGCCAGGTACTCATCTTCCTCCTAACGCCTTCATGATGTACACGACCACTGCATAGCTTTGACCAGTCTACTCCGGGCAGAAGAAGAGGTCCAGACGCGAAAAGGCCGAGGGGAGAACGCGCTCACCATCAAGCCACTCGACTACCTCGCCAAGTACTTGTATCGCCACAACCCACGGCACGCAGAGCCTGTGAGTCGTTGTCTATGTGGTTGGTGCGCTATGCTAACATGACATATGTAGTCGGAAGAGACCAAGATGCTGACGCGATTAGCCAAGAAACTCGTAGGGTAATCGATCGTGCATATACGTTCTTTTCGATTACGACGTGTCGGGGGATGCAACGGGAGATGGGGACGCGACATCAGGAGACGAAAGGGGAGAGATGTAACCTTCGTCGTCGTCGTCGTCGTCGTCGGCAAAGCTGTACTCGTGCTTCACGACACCTTCCTCTGTCGGCGCTGGTGACGGGTCGGACACGTGCTCGATGCTTCCTTGGGGTTCGGATGCTGTGTCATTTGAAGCAGGGCGACCAGATGCGGCATCGGATGGATTGTCGTCATCCCCGGCCTTCTTTTCTTCTTTTCGCACGGGCGGTCGCACCGAGTTCGATGGAAGTTGGCCCCACAGTTCAGATCCACTGGGTGTGTTGTGCCGCAGACTGCGCGTCATCCGGGCTGCAGCGCCGTCGATAGGAGCTGTTCGTTTGCGGGTGTTGAACTGCGCCTTCTTCACCACCGCCGACGACTTACCAGCAGTGTCGACGTTGTGCTGGAGACTAGACTGAAGAGCAGGAGTGGGGGTAGGTACCACAGGGATCCATGCCAGAACTTCTAAGTGGCCACCAGGGCCGACATGCTTGAGCTCTTTTCGCCACTTGCGCACATGAACGTGGGTGAGTCCTTCTCCCGTCGCCGCCGCGTTTTGCATCTTCAGCGATAAGATGTTGCGAAAACTCGTGATTTTTTCGGCTTCAGCCGTTCGAAATATAATATTACTACGAAATATTACTTGAGTTGTGTATATAATAATATTTGAAGTCAATTTTATTCCTACTTTTGTCGATTTGACAAACCACTCCGTCGAGTTTTGCAACCTTTGGCCAACCAATGTCGATAGTGGCGGCAACACTCGGCAACACCCCCAACCATGCCAAGTACACATGCACCTCCCGCTTTGCGTTCCTGAGGCTTGAGATGTACGTCAGTCATCCTCAACACGCGACGAGTTCCTGACTTCGTGATTGTCACAGAACCCTTTCCAATCCAAGCGCAGACAGTGCCGCCGTCGTGATCACCTCCACCACATTGAAGCTTCAAGTCGCATCCAGCATCAAGCAATTGTTTGGGACTGTTGGAGTGGCTACGCACAACTTCGACGTGTTGTCGGTGGATCAAGTACCAGGGACCCACGGCCAAGTGTCGTCGTCGGCCATCCTCCGCCTTCGTCAAGAGTACGTCTCCCCTTCTCATATGCGGTCACCACCACGTCACTGTGTACGTAGGTCCGTGACGCCTCTCTGGAGTGCCCTCGCATTGAGTACGAAATTCGACAAACTTCCTTGCAAGTACCACGTAACACAGGTCGCGTCGTCGCTGGTCGAGTTAGCCTCTGCCCGATACTTAACCTTGTAACCAACTACTCCTCCTACTACTACGACCTTATATTTCTATCGTGGCTGGTCGTCGGTGGTGTCGTTGAAGGTAAATTGATTTGGCCTGGACGGACGGGCTTCGTTCTGCAACGTCATAGGCGGCGTAGTTAGCTTAGCCGTGAGCAATTGCATCATGGAGTCCTGGGCGGCGGCCAGCTGACGCTGCAGCGCTTCCATTTCGTTTTGTCGTGCTCGCATGGCAACTTGGTGTTCGACCAAGTCATTCAGCGTCTTCTCCACCGAATACTGCTGCGACGACGCAGGCCCTAGATGGGGCGACGACAGTCCCTTGCCCCCCTTGCCATGGAAGTGGTCCCCTGGCATCCCCATCCGCTGCGCCGTTGGTCGAACGAGTTGAGACGCCGTCGGTCTGTCGTCAGTAGCATCACTAGGATGATGGTCGCCGTCATCATGCCTCCACACATCCCCCGTCGTCTGCGCCGCCGTTCGCTCCAACGCCATCGCACGGTGATTGGGAAAGAACGTCACGTCGAACCTTGCCATCTGCATGGCCAACGCCAGCTCCATGCCGTCGTACTCTGTCACAGGTTTCTTGTTGATGTGCACAAACAGACACAGGTAGTGCCACATGTTGTGCTCCATGTGCGTGTGGAAGTGGAACCCCCGCGCCGTGAGCCGGTCAAACGTGTAGCCGTCGATGGAGCAGATGAAGCATCGGTCGTGGAGCCCATCTAGCTTATCTTTGTGCGACGTTCGAATCGTGGCAAACGTGTCGACGATCAGGCCAAACGATATGTTGACCAAAATGATGATCAAGATCACATTGTACAGCAAGTCGTAGCTAAATACAAGCAGGTAAAGCATGAGCCTAAATCACACCTCACAGGTAAAACTATGGTACTACAGATATAATAATTAATACATATCTATAGCGACATCCCCATCACGACATGCAAATCGTAGTACGTTGAAGTAGTTTGTATTCACGACGAGCATGCAATATGTTGGCCCTATATCTAGTCAACGTGGCCAACGACTAATATCTATCCCCACACAGCTGTAGCTCAAAGACCACATGTATTTAAAGGACATGACCATCATGAATACTCGTAGCATCCAACGTGCACAAAGGGCTAGCTAGCATTGCAACAGGATCGTCATAATCGTCCTCCTCCTCCTTACATCATGCGCTGGTACGCAAGGGGGTCGGTGCCGCGCTCTCGGGGGACGAGGAACCCCCCAAGTCCGCCATTTTGCTTGAAGCCTTCATCCAATGTGGTAAGAAAGCACAAGAACAACGTCGAGCAGCGAAGGGGCGCGTCCGGGTTGGACTTGCGCTCGGGCGTGTAGTCGGGGCGAAAGAAATAAAACCCCACCACGGCAAAGATGTACACGACGAGGATATACAGCGCCACGAGGAGAAGCAGCGACCGCCCGGGGTACACGATGGCTTTGAGTACGTTCTTCAGGTCCTACAAACATGCAGCCAAGTACGATTGATTGATCTTCACAACAACATTTAAAACATGCTTCTCTTTCATAATAATAATTATTTTTTGTATATATATATATATATTAATCACACTTTTCGAAAAGAATTATTTGAATAAATAAAAAATAATTATAGTGTTGGTTTGAAATAAAAAATAAAAATATAATTATTTGAACGTTTATTTAGTATAATCGACACGAATATCAAAGGGGCCAATATGGACTGTAGTACTGTACTTGGGATCGATTCACGACGTCGAGCAAGTGAAATGCAAAGAAGAGCGGGTGCACGACCGTGCCAAGGATGGAGAATACCACCAGAAGACCGCTGTACACCATGTACGCATCCCCAACCAGGACCCACATCGTAGCGACAATGTTGAGGCCGACGCTAAACGGATGGCGACGTGGTGGCGTTGTCTACTTGCTCGTGAATCCTATATATATATATATATTATATATACCTCGACTCGATCCCCCAGCAATCGCGTTAAATCTTCAACGTCTGTCAGTGACCGTTTGTGGTGGTCATGCCGTGTGTCGGCCGTTGGAAACCGGTTCTCGATGGCAACATGCGAAGCCACCACGGCGCGAAGAGGACGTTTGTGCTGGAGCAGTTGGAGCTTCTTGCGCTGGTACCACCGGTCCATCACGAGCGGCGGCGCCGTGTGCACTGCATACAACACAAACAAGATCGAACACAAGATCACTTGGCACGTGCCCAAGATCCTCAGCACGGCGTGGATCTCACTGTCGCCGTCGTCGGGGAAAGCTGGCAACACGTAGCTCCGGATGTCCACAACAGGATCGGTGTCGCTGTCTAGCGCGCGAAACGTCATTAGCACGACACAGTTCAACGCTAGCGCCAGCACAAACGACAGCTTGCGCAAGGACGTGGTGTGCACTGCTAGCCGCGTGATGAGCCGCCGCTGCAGCAACTGACTGTGGTACTCCATCTCGTGCAGCAAAGTGGGCATGCGCGAGAAGAAGTCGGCGAGTTTGGACGTGCCGTCGCCGTCCGTGTTGATGGTCGCCTTGAGCCGCGCTTTCGACCGCTCCGTCAAGCAAAAACAGATCGGGTGCACCGGAAAATACATGTGCACCAGGTCGTGTTTGGTCCTGTCGTCGCTGTTGTCGTCGTCGTCGAGGCGCCGCCACAGAATTTCCACGCGACCGCATTTGTCCTGGAAGAACCGATACGCTTGCGCATACCTAGAAATATTATTGTTATTGGTTTTATGCTGGGGGTTTTATATATTGTAAGAGTGGTGATATTTCAAAGAAATGTAAACAAATCACTCGATCATTCTCGGGTTGAGCTTGCGGCGGCTAAAGGCAAGATGGACACAACAACACGTACAATACATCCTTTTGGGCGTCGGCCAAAGAAGTCGCTGGTTTCGCATGCGAACGTTTGGCGGCGGCGGCGGCAGTGCGCCGTGGAACCCCCAGCCATGTCAAGCATGACGACTTTTGAGGGTCATCAGAGTCTGCCATCTCTTGCCCCAACCTCCCGACTTTGGGCTGCACCGTTTGGGCCAGTTGGGGCTGGTGTTGCTTGAGATGTTGCATCAAAATGTGCAAGTTGAACCCCATGGTCAAGTACGCGTCGGTGCTGCACGCTGAATTGCCATCATAAGTGCCCTACGATGTCGCAGATTCCTCCGTCGTGTGAAAAATGTGTCAAAAATATTCGAATAGAACAAACACTAACAGATTACTACTAGTATTTAAATAATCAGTAGCAGTTGACCCACATCGTATTGCGTTAAAAAGTACGCATGTACTTGCACCAAGTTGTCTTTGATCGTGTCAAAGTTGAGTTCCGTGACCAGTCGGTCGTGAATGATAGCGTCCGTGCGGCCTTCAATCAAGCTCAACAAGGCAATCACAACGGACCCTTTAAGCAGTCGGACGCGGGCGATGGCGTCGGCGTTTCCCGTCGTCGGGGGAACCACGACCAGCAGCTCATTCACGGCTGAAATAAACTTGTAGTTGGCCACGCACTCTTGCGCGTCCAGGCACGGCCCCTAAAGCAAACAACAACAAATGAATAATCAATCCATCGACGATATCTTGAACAGGTCGTCTGATTGTCTATTGTTGTGTGTGTATTCTAATCTGGAGCAACGTGGAGAATGAATGTCGACACAACCAACATCGACAGAAGAATCGGTAATAGTATTTAGCCAATCAGATTGCAGGAAACCAGCAGCGTACCAATCACCACAGGACTTCTTTTTAAACACAAAATTCAGGAAACCAAGCATCGATCATCGATAGATTTGGCGTTTACAGCACAAAAGTAGTCCAGCTTTTGGGTAAAATGTCAATCAATATACCTGGCAGAACTCTGTGACAGTGTCAAACAGCTGCTTGAGAATGGTCAAGTTGGGACTGGTCATCCGGGAGTGTACTTCAAGAAGAAAGGTCGTCGTGGCTTCGACGAGGTTCACTTGGCCGTGCCACAAGGGCTGCGCTAGCAAAACCCGCTGGATCTTCAACACGTGGCCTTCGCACAGCAACTGCAGGAACCGGAACACGTGCACTATCGTGCGCGTGGGATCGGTCAACGACGACGACGAGGATGGGAACGAAGACATGACGGTGTCTGTCCACACATTTTGGCGGTGGGGGGGGCGCTTGATGGAAGCATACACGTCGACACTGTCGTCGACTTGGGCCTGTCGCCGCATCACATCCGTCGCCTAAACACGATTCATATGATATATATATATATACATTCGTAGCAAATATATATATATCTACCTTGTCAATGCGATGCTTGATGCGATCGAAAAAGCGCGTGGCTTTGCAGTCGACCCAAATATCGTAGAAATTGTCTTGAACTTTGGCGTTCATACCGTCCAAGAGAGCGATCCCCAACGCCACACACCGATCAAACACGAGTGGGTCGGTGGTGGAGCTGACGATCGTCACGACGAGCGACGTCAGGCCGAGGTGGTTGAGACGCACTTGCATGGCATGGCGCTGGCTCAAGTCTTGCGAGTTGATCATTTGGCTAATATATATATATATGTACGTAATAGAAGTTAGTACGTTGCTTTTGAAATATATATTTATTTTTGCATATGTCTAAAAAGAATAAATTATATACGTATGATGGTTGTGATTCTTATACGTTGTGCAATATTTTCTACAACAACAAAAAACAACCAATACATCAAATGTTTTAGAAACATTCAATAATATATATATATATATATTGAAATAAAAAAACACAGAAATATATATTTATACTAAAATATATTTACGACAAGATGAGAGAGATGCATACCTAAACACGTCGAGCAGGATCACACTGACTTTGGACAGTTTCGAGTACTTGAGCAGCTACGACGCTTCCTTGTAAAGTTGGTGCATTGGTGGACGACACAATACAGTACCTTGAAGTGTTCGACCAGCCTCAAGATAATGTCGTCGAGGGTGGTGGTGGTCTTAGGCAGATCCGAGATCGTCTCGCTCTCGTGCTTCATGGCAGTCTCCACCGATAGAATCCGTCGAATCATGTGGTGCAATTCCTCTTGCAACAGGTGCTGCGTCGCGCCGTCGCGCTGGACTGATGCGAGGTACCTGTCCAAGATGGCGGCTTCGTGGTCGATTGAGGCGGTGGCGACCACGATGACCTTGTCAAGCTGTTTTTGCCTACGCACATGTCGACGATAGTGTCCAAGTCCTTCTGCAGTTGAAGAAGTCGTACCGTGGAGTCCGACGAGGGGATGACGCGATAGCTTGACCTGGATGCTTCGAGTGGACGAAATACTTCTTGGCGGCATGCAGTCCAGGCCATGACCACCAGGAGGCCGCCATGGTAGACCCGCCTTTCGACTTGCGGATTGGAGAAGTCGTCGGCGGAAGGAGGACTGCATCGTGGATCACAGATAGCTTCTTGGCCGCAGCGGTCGTCGCACTGTGAACGATGGCGGCGGCGGGTTTTCGACCGGGAGGTACAAGGACTACTAGGTTGCCATACGTGTCGTACAGTTTTTGAATCAAAGCCAGTGGGCTCAAGTCGTCGTTCGCCACGACGTTTCCGAGAAATGGACGCTTGGTCCGACTGGATACGTCGTAGAAGAGCATTTCGAGTCCACACGCGACCACCGCCGCCCCTCCTCCTCTCCCTGCTTCATCCATGGGCGTCAGTTGTTTGTCCAGCACACGAAGCACCTCCAGCAGCACGTCTTGGTCGTCCGCGGACAGCGCATTCACCGTGGGCATCGTCAGCGCCATGGCTAACATGACGTACACACTGGCGTACATGTCCTTTCCCAACGCCGCTGCATGATGGTGCATGAGCATCAAGTGGAGCGCCGGCAGCAGCAGCGTAAACACCATCACAAAGCTATGGCTGGCCACTTCGCTGGCCAACGGACCTTTGTACGAGGCCATCGTCACGTCCACGTATACGTTGCCGCCGTCAAAGATAACATACGGCTTGGGGGTTGTTAATGAAGCCTCGCTGTCCATCGACGCCAGCGCCAGCACGTGGCTACAGGTTGCTATTCGAACAAATTGTTGCAACGATCGATCGATGGATGGATGATGTAGATGGTAGATTGAAGGGGGCCTTACATTGAACGACGAGGGTGCCCACCGTGTGCAAGAGCCTCGAGAGCAAGGCATCGTCCAGTGGATGCTCGTTGAAGGCGTCGCACGTCAAGTAAATATCGTTCAACGCCCCGACCACGCCCGCTTCGAACGGGTGCAGCCACGCACGACCGTGTACTAACGTCCTGCTGCTTCTGGTCGTGGTCCTACTTGACAGCGCCTCGAGTAGACTTAGCACTTGGTCAAACGGCGTGACACCTGCACACAGGAGCTTCAAGCGCATGTCCTTGCCTCGGGCGCAAGCCACCACCAAGCCCGTCCACTCGGTGTAGATCGCAAACGTCTCCACCATGGCATCCTCCCTCCCGCCGCCGTCGTCGTCGTCATGAAGGTGCTTGAACACGATCCCGTGGCACCGACGGAAAAAAGCCAACAGTGTGGGGGACTGAAGTATTTGGGACAAGACGAGCGTTTGGTTGTCGACGACGGGGACGCCGTGGCAGTGTACTATGGCGCGGAGAAACGCGGCAAAGCGGAGTCGAATGGGAGGAGGCTGGTGGGCGTTGGGGGCTTTGTTGGCGCGGACAGCAACGTCGGTAACCAAGAGCGACATGAATGCCGAGAGTACTTTGACAGGCACGGACTTGCACAGTGGCATGTGGTGTGTGTATATCGCTGCAATCAACGCTTGTGCCTCGGGCAATTCGTCCACAAACTCGACAAAGCTGGCAACGTGGTCGGCCAGAAACGATTGGTTGACGACGTTGTCGACGCACATGGCGAGCAAGAACGTCATGCCGTGCGAAAACACGCGGCGGATGGCGCGCTGCTGCTGCTGTACACTGCAGTGTATGGATTGGTGGGCGTGGGGGCTGTCGACGCTACTGGTGTCCACGGGGGGATGTGTCGCTACTGACACTGACGACGGGAACTGCATCTTGAAAAAGTGGCTCCCATCGCGCAGCATGTTGATCACGGTCTGCATGGCGTCCAGATTCCGAAGCAAGCGCTTCGTTTCCACTTGCGACCCCCCTTTGGGGGGGTGATGGCTATGCCTTTGTACGGGGGGAGCTACAGGAGCTGCTCTAGTCGTCGTAGCATCGCCCTCGCCAAAGGTCTTGTCTAGTGCAGCAGACGCGTCTTGGCCGACGTTCAACGCTGCCGTGAGGGTGTGGAGCAGTTGGCACACGTGGTCGGCCACGTCATAGTCGGCCGTGGATGTCAAATCCATCCACACTTCGGTGGTTTCAGCCAGCTGGCGCAACCGATCCATGTCGGTCTTGAGCTTGTCGTAGTTTTGCACGGTGTGCTCGTCCACGATCAGCAGCACGTTGTTGAGGGCTTTGATCACTTGATCGTGCTGGTTGAATTGCTGCAGGAGCAGCTCCAACGCTTTCGACACCAACGGCGGGTGCTCGTACATTAACGCTTGCAGCAAAATCGTATCCAGTGGCCGATGGGCCAGCGACGAGAGCGCAAACGTGTCCGCGATCATCGTGGAGGGCATCACAGGTGTTTCCTGGACCTCGGAGGGACCTCTGGATGTGCCCCAAAGCGTCGAAATCCACCACGACGATGGCGGCGGCGGTTTGGGTTTCGTCTTGTCAATCGTTGTTGGGGGTTCCTTGCTCGAGGCCAGCACGCCCAGCACGGTCGAGATCTGATGGTCCAGCCGAAATGTGTCGATATGCAGCAAGATCGCACACACTTCGTCTTTGATCTCCATCACCACTTGATTCCACTTGGTCATTTTGAATTGGGATGGTGGGGACGACGACGACGACTGTGGACGTGACGGGTCGCGTACGGCCGCCGTCCACATCCGCGGCCTCAAATCGTGGTCGTTCAACGATTTGGATCTACTTTATCGAGTCATGACATGTAAATGCATACCACAAACAGACGGCTTCTTACTCAACTCGCTTGGACGGGCGACTGCTATACTGGCGCTCGATCGAGTCGCGGCGGATGCCTTCGTCCAGCATGTTGCCTTGTGTGTGGTGAATAATGTCGTTTTGAGCATTCAGGTCAAATCTGGTCGACTCGGACGACCGTTGGAAGACGGGCGAGACCGCCATGGTGCCATCCGAGGGGGCCCGAAACGACTTGGAGGTGGGGGGCGTAGGAACGGGATGATGGGGGGACAACGAGTCGGTCCGGCAGTCGAGCAGCCGTACGAGGTGCTGCACCAGCTGTGACAGCGTGTCCAGCGTCCGGAAGAGGCCACACTCGACGAGCTTCTTGCACGTCCGCAACACGGCCAGAAGCATCGTGTTGTGCGGAAACTCGGCAATCACGATGCGTCCGTCCGTCTTGCGCAGCTGGCCCACGACCAACTCGCGGAGGTCGTCAAAGAACAGCCAGTCTTGGGCAGTGTACCACACATCTTGCGCCATGGGGATATGTTTTGTGGCCGTGCTACTGGCGTCCACGTCCTTCCAAATGCGCGTGTAGTTCGGACTTGGCACTGGTTTCAATGGCTCGCAGTCTACGTGCACAACAAGTAACAGGTTGAGCAGCACGGCTCGAATCGACCGGGATAAGGTCGAGTCCTGGACTGTCGCCAGAAGGCACGAGCGAGGAAACTTGTCCTTGAGGCTGTGGATGCACGTGTAATTGCGGTCTAAACACAAAGCGCTGTACAGTTGCAACAACCCGTAAAAGTACGGGGCCAGCGTCGCGTGATGGCCATGTTCGTAGTAGGCTTCGTAAAATTCGTTCATTGGCGTCCACGAGCCCCCTCCTTGTCCGTCGTCCGGAGCATGGGGAGACGAAGGCGGGATGCAGATTTCAAAACCACGCCCTGACGGGAGCGGCCGCGACTCGAGCAGCACCGCGCCTGCGTACCCGTGTACCGGATTGAAGAGCAGCTCACAGATCTTTTCTTGGATCTTGGGGATGGCGTGGCCGTCCTCGCTGCACAGAACGACAAGGAATTGCAAGTACCGCGCCGACTTGCCTTTGGTTTTGATCAGGTGGAGAAAATGGCGAATCAGCAACGAAAACGACGCCAGCGACGACTCGGACAGGTACAGCTTTTCTTGGATGAGGTACGCCAGCGGCACGGACGCTAGGAACTGATGGCCCAAGAACTGCACGAGCACTGGCATCGCCCGCCGACACGACGCTGCGTCCGCCGCCCGCGAGCTGTAAAATATTCGAAACAACAGCACATTCACTTCGCAAATCACGTGGTTCAACGCGTGCATCGACGAGAGGGAGAGGCGAAAGCCTAGCGGAGGCGGCAGGTCGCCAACGGAGGACGACACTTCCGAAGCAGTCGTGGAGCCATCCTTCTGGGGGTTCGATTTCTTGTCGGGGCTGTCCAACGTCATGGCGATGCCGCCCACGTCATACGGAATCTCGTCGGGATTGTGTGTCTTATCAATGTAAAACGAAGACACGTAGTCGAGGGTAAATGGTCCCCCAAAGAGCGCGAACGGGGCTTGGAGCATATCCGTCAGCAGCGCCACGTAGCGGTGTTGCCACAGAAGCGCCTGTCTCAGCACCGTCATGTGATCCAGTCCCTGGGCAGCATCGCTGACAGTGAACCGCTTCAACCCGTCCAACGCCCGGCACACTTGGGCAAACAAGACGGACGAGTCGGCCGGGGGGGCTGTCGGGGGGTCTCTAAAATACGCCACAAATCTGTCGAACACACTTTTGTATGACACCAGGACCAGCGTGTTGTCCATCTCGGCCTGCGACACCGGTACGATCTTGAACGCGTCTTGGTCCTGCGCGTCCGCCAGGGCAGTCACGCGACATGTCGATATGTGACGACGTTCGTCAACGTCGTCGGCTAGCCGCTCGTCTTCCAAGTGGTCCAGCTCTTGTGACGAGGCATGGATGTATCGACTCGAGTTGAGATGCAGCAACTGCACGGCACTATGAAGCCCCACCGACGAACTACATCCCCACAACAACGTGATTTGGAGGCCAAAGGAACGTCCCCACGTACCGCGAGTCCCCCAGAGTGGTGGGGCACAACACGAACGGTTCTGGCTCTCGCTGCAAGCACACAAAGGTGGCGTCGGGACTAGTAGTAGTACTAGAGACACCAAGAGGAGGAGGAGGAGCCGCCACGGCCAAGTACAAGCCCGTGACGACATGCCGAAGGTAGATGTGGTGCGACCACGTCAAGACCCCGCCTTGAAACGACGTCGTCCGTTCCACTTCCCACAACGTCGTTGGAGACAGCTAGTCCATAGTAATAGAAACCCTCGGTCATAAAGAAATTCAACGAGGAAAGCAGAAGTATTATATTCAACCATCGACGTAACCAAGTGTATTGACAAATCGACGACACAAGGGTGTAGTTTATCAGATTGCAAGAAACAATCATCAACATAAAATTAGTGTGTGAAAATAAATTACTGTGATTGCCACCACCACAGGATTACTTACAAAATTCAGTAATTACAACGAATCGATCAATCGATTTGGCGAATCGGCCAAAACATTTACAGTGCGACTGGTAACTGGAAATACTGCAGTATTCAGGACTATAGTATTTACCATTTGATTGGGATCGTCCAACACGGTGGTGCGTTGCGGCGACGGCAGATGCTGGTCGCCGGCGGCGGCGGGGTTGTCCATGGTCGCTTGAAGGCACACGCGATGTCGCGGCTGGCTGCCTCCGAGCCACGAACTCAATTCCAAGTGAAACAACCGGACGCAATGGCCCGCCTTGAGCAGCCCTTGGCTAAAGTCCTGCTGATATTTGTCCACTGTCGACACGTGCTTGTTGGTTACGTCGAACGGAACTACGCGCCACTGCGACGTAAACGACGACGACGCCATCACGAGAGCTGCCGACTCGGCCGACGCCTTGCGGTTCGACACGTACAGTGAGTACATTTTGTGTACTTTGTCTGCACTTGTCAACACAACCTGCACCCAACCCTCGTTATACGAACACCCAAGACCCCGACGACTGTACTGTACCTGATCGATCAACTGCACGGGCTCTCCGGCCTTTCGTAGCTTGAACCGTGGCATGACGGTAAAATGCGACGACGACGACCCAGAACTCAACTGCACCTAAGTTCAACCCACCAACGTTTCCACAAACCACCATCGTTTGCATGAGTGCTTGATTACTACCTCGACGCAATCAGCCGCGGTCGTGGTGGCAGAAGCCGTCGACACAAACAAGCCGCTTTTAATATGGCGCAGCTGGATCACCTGTACATAGTAGCAACATTGGGACGTTGAATATATATATATATGTATATATATTTGTGACGTTGAAAAATAAAATAAAAATATATGTATATATATTTGTGACGTTGAAAAAAAAATATATATATATATATATATGTATATGTATTTGTGACGTTGAATATATATATATATATATATATATATCACGTTGTGCAGATTTGGACCTGTCCATATTTGACGGTCGTGCCGTGCAACTTTTGGTAAATGTTGCTGTTCAATCGCAGCTCCGAGTCGCATTTGAACTTGAGGTCCGCAAATATCGCGGCGTCCGTTGTGTCAGTCTGGTGGTGGTGGGATGGGGCTCTGGCATCATGGAAACGAATGGCGGCGTCATACGACATCTTTGGAAGGACCTAACAAAGACGATTCATGGGACGACGACACCTAAGAAGAAGGAGGACGTACCTCGAACAAACAGTCCTTGAAGTGCGTCGACACCAACTGGCACGACACATTCACCGCGCTTTGGCCGTTGGATGTCATCGCTCGGTCCACGGCGTCCAGCGCATGCTTGGTGTGGACCGCCAGCGGTTCCATGCGCAGCTCCGACGTGTTGAGACCTTCGGATGCCAGCAGCCCCGACCTGTCGATAGACATCCACGACACGACCATCCCATACGCCAAATAGCACGCAGACGATGCCTTGACATGATGCGCTCCGCCGTCCCCTATTGAGGACGATGTTGACGAGGACGAGGAGGCTTCGCGGTCGACGCTGGCGGGCAAGTTGCGAGGGGACAGCAAACTGTACGAGCTCGCGACGTGGCTGCTCGGGTCTGTCGGTGGTTGACTGGCACGCATCGCAGGAGACCGCAACGGCATCGCAGAGGCTACGATGTTGGCATCGACGCTCAAATTGCGGCGTTCCCGATTGCTTTTGAGCCGCGGAAGGGACATGGTTGATAATCCGAGCGGCCTGCCAAGTAACAAGCGGTTTCAAGCGTAACCGCCTCAACTGCCACCACCGTTCAGGTAGAGTGTTCAGCCACAGAGCTACCCCCGTCAAAGGTACATCATCGTGTTTAGCGATTGTTGTGTAACTGAGTGCAGAGCATTGGAGCATGAGAGTGGAGGGGTACATAGCAGGCAACGCATTCCATTCCGCAATCATTACGACGTCCGTCCCGCCATAGAATAGTGACAAACCCAGAGTTACCTCTTAAAACTAGTTGTGGAAACTGTAACATTTAATACATTATCCGTACAATTGGGCAATTGTATGGAATTCCATTCCGTACAATAGTTCACAATGCTGTTGGGGGAGTGTCGACGACGTACTGTATATAGCACAATTCTACGAAGCCGTGTACTTTGTATACGGCTTCGCTGCTAGTGATGAAGAAGCAGGTGCATTTAGGTACTAGTATACATTATGGTTATCGAATGTTCACGATAACTATTTAGGCGTTGACGGTACGGTTTTGTAGCGTGTAGGAACTCGTGATTTTGTAACGAGAGTACTAAAAATAGTGTGGAATCTAGAGCCTTGACAGTGAACATCAATTTGCACAGTATTTACTGTTAAACAAATAACAGAAAATCGTCGCGAAGATGCCGTCGTCGTCGACGCAAGTGCTTGGGCCAGCATGGTTTGCCGACGTCAAGTCGGCTACAGCCGGCCCTCCGTCGAAGAAGAAGGTGGATTTCGATCGAAGCGAGTTTGTCCGTCAAGTGAAGGCCGCGATCGAGTCCACTGGCAAGGTGAACGACCCAGGATTCGTCCGCGAGGTCAAGCGTCGCCGCGACTTCGCCATCGACCTGGTCCAAGCCTACCCGCACTTTTCCGAAGCACAGTCACTGCAATTGCTTTTGGGTCTTGCCGTCGACTTGGGCAGCCAAGACATGTCGCTCTTGGTCCGATCGCTGCCGTCCATGTTGCGTGCGCATTTGGTTTTTCAAGTACTCGCGGCCGCCCTCGGCTTCAACCCGCCCACCGACCTGGAGACGTACAAGCACGTAAAGCGAGGCCTCGTGCCTCTTCCAGAGCAATTCTTCTTGCTCATCGGGTAGCACATCGTGCACACCGCCCCTTCCACGCTCATCCTGGCGTCATCATATATCATCTCTAGGTCTGTGCCGTCGGGGTATTCGTTCGTGCTGCAGCTGCGGAGCGACCTCGCGTCCTGCGTGAAGAAGTTCCGCGACGCCTTATCCGACCACGAACTGCACGCGCTCTCATTCCTCGACAAACTCATGCGCGACCTCTTTGCCACCCAGACCGGCGTCCACTTCCGACGCATCGAACTCAAGCCCGACAACCGCGAAGTCCTCCGCGTGATCGTACAGAACGAGCGCGTCCACGCCATGCGCTCGTTCGACGACCTTGCGCGTCGCCTCAACGGACCGCGGCGCCAAGTGTTTGGGGTGTTCCACAGCAACATCTCACACCTGCCGCTGGTCATCGTCGAGACCTTCTTCACAACGTACTCCATATATGTTTGATATAACACAAAATCAACAACAGCCTCTATAAAGAAGATGGACATAATAGGTACATGCCCACGGCCATCGATGCCATCCTCGAGCCATCGCCCGTCCATCACGCTACCGACATGGACGCCGCATCCCTTCACCGCCCTCCACCCACCTCCAGCCAAGAAGCAGACACGCATACACATCATCATGCACACGACGACGACGACAGTCTTCCCACGCACGGGGTGTTTTACTCCATCTCCAACATGCACGTGGGGTTGCGGGGCCTCAACTTGGCGAGCCATCTGCTCTTCCTGACCATCACGCACTGCTCCAAGCTGTACCCGTCCATCCACACATGGGTCACGCTGTCGCCCGTGCCGACGTTCCGCGCTTGGCTGCACGCGCAACTGGTCGCGGGCACGGCGTCGCTCTCATCCGACACCCTGCAAACAATCGAGCAAGAGTTTGGAGTCAACAGATTTGCTGCCCCCAAGTGGCTACTGGCCCAGCTCGACACCCACAACACAAGCCCGAGATTTGTACGTGGGTTCTCTTGTGTGTGTATATGTGCTGCAGCCTCTGATTCTGATTCCCCTCGTGGAGTATTTCGTGTGTACTGCAGGATGTCTGAGTCTGATTCTGATTCGAACGCCTTCCCTCGTGGTATTTCGTCCATGTCTGATTCGACCGAATATGTAGACCGCGCTCGCCCGCCGCGTACTCGTGCGGCTGTGTGCCACGTACGTTTGCTTTGCCAGACAAGTGGCGACCCACAAGATCATCGACCCCGTCGCCAACTTCCACCTCCAAAACGGCGCCCAAGTCGAAAGCGTCAACTTCCACGCGGACACGGCCGACCGCGGCGTGTCCTTTGGCGTCATGATCAACTACAAGTACTCGATGCACCTTGCCACGGACAACACGTCCATCTCGTACCAGCGCGACTCGACCGTCGCCGTCTCGCCGTCGGTCATGCCGCTCCTGATCAACATGTCGCCACCCCACCACCACCACCACCCGTTCCTCCAAGGTATTGATACAAACCTCAAAAAACCTCAAGTGTCTTTAACGTCCGTTTTGATTTGCCCTAGCCATCCAAGACCTGGACCACAACAAGAAGCATGACATTCACGTTCTCGCAACCCAATTCGCCAAAGGCACGACCATCTTGCGGCGCGGCCAACTGCCCGACGCCGTCTACTTTATCTGGTACTGTTACATCGTAGTACTATATATCGCGAATGATGCGACCACTACATCGCTTGTAGCCTCGGCCAAGTGCGAGTCGATACGGTCCCGTCCAGCATCCTCGCGCAAGGCCAGTCGTTTGGAGACGCCGAAGTCGTCAACGGCGAGCCCGTCCGCTTCAGCGTCGTCGCCATGTCCGTGTGCCATGTGCTGTTTGTCCGGCATAAGGACATGGTCACGTTACTCGACTTAGTTCCTTCCCTCCGACCAGCAGCACCACCCACGAGGATTGACAGTCGACTGTAATCGCCAACACAACATGGGACGTCTTGAATATTGGGTTGTTCGTGTTGATTTGTTGTTGCTACGACGTCCTACTTCCTATTACCTAACCACATACAGGGCCTTTGCACCACCGAGGTGTGGTAGCACAGACTCCAGCTACCTATACATATGCATGATGATGCCGTCTAAACAATCTTCTCCTTGTCGATGTTGCCGCCGCCATGAGCAGCCGCCGCGGCAGCCATCGCTTCTTCGCGGTCAAGCGCGGCGATTTCTTCCTTGGTCAAAAAGCGACCACCAGGCCCGCGGGGTCGTCGCATCGCATGCTTGTGTCGCGATGCGTGCAAAAACGCCTTGCGTTGGCGCGCGTTTCCTAACTTGGCTTCCAGCTTTGCCCGTTGCTGTCTCCGAACCATGATTCGATGGTACTGCTTGGCGTTCACGTAAACTGGCTCTTCTTCGACCATTTCTCCTCCACCAGGCAGCGGCATGCGGGAAAACATGGCTTGCGAATGCATCTATTATGGAGAAGGTCAAGTCAGTCTCACCAAACGACAACGAGGACGTGACAAGGTACCATGTAGGGGGGCATGATCATCATGCCGTTGCCGTACATTGCTCGGACTTGTTCGCTGTTGGGTTGTTGTTGCTACACGAAAGAACACAGTGAGTGTCATGGCTCAACGCAACATCATCGGCGTCGTCAGCTCGTCGTGTTGGTTCAGGCCGCTTACCATCTAGACACAGACCCAGCGTTAGACGACGACTCACTCATGGAGCGACGGGGTGGTGGGGAGTGACCGTACCATTTGGAGGTATTGCTGCTGTTGTTGTTGGTACAGAGCCAATTGGGCAGGGTCGTAGGTGGCGGCGGTAGCTTGGGTCTCCATGGCGATCTACGATGTCTCTCGGTGAGATCTCGTTGCATTGGCTAAGCCCAGCCAATCTCATGTTACCTGGACGGAGATTGGGCGTTCTAATGGAGCGATTTGACTTGCGCAGAAGAATGGAAACTGGCGAATGAGGTTCACGGACGCCGAAATAGCCAATCGACGCCCGCCCCATACAAATTCCAAGTCAGGTCCCCCTCGCCAAATTCGAAACTACAGCCCTACCCCTCGCCCTATTTGAACTTTCAAACGACGAAAGCCGGATACCTGTATCCGGACCATCGCCCCACGCGTGTGTTCACATGCGTTCATTTGTGGTTATATTAAAATGCCAGTTTCCATACAAACGATACGTCAACATTAAATGATCAACATATTAATACGTTTGTGTGAATCCATCGTTCGTTGAAGAGAAAGTGCAATCATGAAACGGTCACCTTATTGTAACCGACTGCGACCTCGATTTTACCGACGGGTTGGGCGACCATGCGCAAGATCGATGTGTTGGACAACGAATCTCTGGTGCGGTATCGTCGTCTTCATGGACTCGTGACGAAGCTGACGTCGCACTGTAGAAGCTCTTGGCTAGCGAAGACAACTCGAGCAAGTTTGCCGTAGATGCACACCACCGCGGCATCCAGCGCATAGGAGATCTCTCACAAGTGCGACGACACCTTTCCCCCGTTTGAATCCTCTTACTATCATATATAATCGTCGTAGATGGCACGACTGTACTCTTTGGATGTGTCGTTCAATGAACTCAAGGTGCTGGAGAACTTGCACACGGCCAAAGATCTGAAGGAACTCAAGGCGTACAACAACAAACTCACGTCGTCGGCGGGTCTCAAAACGTACACCAACGTTTTTCACCTACCTACTGCATTTACACTGCGTATGGTCACAGGAACCAAGCCCTGGAAGTACTCATGCTGAGCGACAACGCCATCGCGGAGATCTCGTCGGACTTTACAGCGCTCTTCAAGCTCAAGACTCTGCATCTGCACGGGAACACGATCACACGCATCGACAACCTCAAGACGTGCAGACACTTGACGTACTTGGACTTGAGTCGCAACCGCATTGCCGGCGCGTGGTCCAACGTAGGGGGCAAAAAACCATCGGTCATCCACTATCAACCTGGACGATTGCTGTAGGCTTTGCAATCCCTCGCGGCGCTCGAATATGTGAACGTCAGCGACAACCAAATCACGTCCATTGGATCCCTTGAAAACCTCAAGAAACTCGAAGAAATCAACCTCGGCGGGAACCTCCTTTCGTCGCTCAGTGGGAATTACCCCCCCAATTTGACTGTACAGCCCCCCCACATGTTAAGTGTGTAAACGATCAACATTACATTAGACGCTTCGTGTCGACCGCAACAAATTCGCAGACCTTTCGACGCTGCCGCTGCTGCCCAACTTGAATGAGTTCTACGCCCAAGGCAATCTCCTCACCGACATTGCGGCGGTGGTTTCGCGCATGCCGCAGGTAGGTACTCATTGGGGCTAGGTAACTGTGGATTGAGTACATTTGCTCTCCCTCTGTGTACTCATCATATGTTGCTGCAGTTGGAATCGATGGACATTCGGAACAATCGCATTCGAAGCCTGGGAGACGTTGTTATATTGGCGCAGCTGTCGACCATTGAAGACTTGTGGATCCGCGGTAATCCCTGCGCCCTTTCCGATTCGTACGACCCCCCTCCCCTCCTTGCACTTGGTGCATCGTAGAAGTATGTACCTACTTTATAACGGCACCTCCTTTCGAATTAGGTACCTCTCGGACTTTGCCGCTGCATTCCCCACAATTCAATTCATCGACGATCTGTCCCGGCAGCAGATCCAAGACGCCCCCAACCCCCAAAAGTTGGTGGCAGCAGCGACTCGCCCCCCCAGCACGGGGCGGCCGGCCACGCCCTTGCTGCGCCCGTCGTCGTCGAGCTCGTCTTCGTTGGCGCGACCCACGACCGCCGACGGCCGTCCGCTGTTCTTCAAACCGTCGACTCGAGCAGGTCCGGTGGACTTAGTGATTTCATGGAGCGGATTTCAAGGATGAATTAGGATCACAAGCGAAGATGCTTAGTCCAGCCGAAGTGGAGAAAGCCCAGAACGACGTGCGCGACCGACTGCATAAACTGCGCCACCTCATGGGGAAAATGTGTGGACCGGATAAAGCGGCACCGTCCAAGGGAGCCGCCGAAGTCCATCGTCATACTGTAACGTCTTCGCAAAGGAAGACCAAGACTGTAGGCGATACTATGCACGTGCGTCCACTTGTCGTACCTGCTGATGCTGAGATAACCACCGATGAGTCGGAGGGTATTGCCTTTATTAACCAAGACACGGACCAGCGAGTGGAGACCAGGCCTCGTGATGACAATGTAGTAGTGACCAAAGTTGAGGAAAATCGAAAAACTCTGTCACAGGCACGAGGACAAGCCAAGACGAGCGACATGGGGACAGACCCCCTCGATGGCATTCCGATCCGTCCACCGACGTCGCATGGATCCACGCGGGAAGGCGAGATTCAAACCACCGAAGGGGGGTCCACGAGTTTTGTGACGATGCTGCAAGTCGACGACGAGAAGGACGACAAAGGACTGGGGGTGCGTGACATGGTCGTCGAGCCATCAGCGTTGGAGAGATCAGGAACGTCGTACGAAGATGCGATGAAGCTACATTTGGCATCGGCGCTGAAGGCAGAAGACATCGAAGTTGACGTGGGGGGTGAATGGATGAAGGACACGTTGGGCGAGGAATTGCCTCGAGTGGAGCCATGGCGACGGGCGGAGCAACGATCTCGGCCGTCGGCCTCTGAACGTGGAGGTTTTCGCCTCTTTCGTATCCCAGAAAGCGCTCGGCGCTTCATGCAAGGAGCCACGAGCGCTACATGAACCGGATCCAGGCCGGCTGTTCGTGTCGACGAAGTGGATGTGTAGGAGATTCATGCATGCGACGTTAATCATAAAGGTAGTAGATGTGCATATATATATTGCGACTAACTAAGACATGACGAAGCACTACGGAGCCCTCATTGCATCCACTCATCGGCGCATTCCACATCCAAAGGCGTTGGTTGTCGGCCCTTTTGCCACCTGAAACAAGAACCTTCCAAATCATATTCGGAATATTCTAACGGTGTGGTAAAAGTAAAAAAACTAGCTTTAACCTGGTTGAAATTCGTGTCAAACTGGATAAAACGTTGGTGCTCCATACCACGTTAAATGGTTGCTCTTTGCCAGGTTGACGAATGGCCAAGTTTGGCGGAATAAGCTCGTGGCAAAACTGCGAACAAAAGCAACTTGGCAAGTTATCAGCGTGGAATTGGAAGGTTTCGCCTCATGTCAACGAAAGAGCCATCCATGACGCCAGCCAAGAAGCATCCGGCGGTGGCCGTCGTCGCCGGCGCAATTGCCGGCGGCATTGAAATGTGCTCGATCTGGCCCATGGAGATGATCAAGACGAACCTGCAACTCGGAACGATGAAGTCCCACTACACGAAGATGCTACCAGGTTTTCGATACCACATTCAAACCGGCGGGGTGCTGTCACTGTATCGCGGCCTCGCCCCCGTCCTCGTCGGGTCACTCCCCAAGGCCGGGTTGCGTTTCGGAGCGTTCGACTCAATCAAGCAATTGCTGGCCGACGAACATGGCCAGTCGACCCCGTTGCGCAACTTGGCAGCGGGGATGTCCGCTGGCGCGATCGAAGCCATTTTGGTTACCACGCCCACTGAAACCGTGAAAACCAAACTCATTGACGCCAACGCAGGCATGCTGCACGGGATCAAGAGAATCCTCGAAACTGACGGGATCCGCGGGCTATACCAAGGTCTTACGGCCACCATCATGAAGCAGGTACCTACCTGCCTCGGAGGTGAACCTCGTCTTTTGTTAAACAAGTTCCACCCGTAGGCCACCAACACGGGGCTTCGGTTCATGTGGTTTTCCGAGTACAAAGCTCGCGTCCCGGACTTGTTGGCTCGAAACGGCGTCAACTATGACACACTCTCGCCAGGCGAGTTGGCCATCGTGAGCTTTGTCGGTGGCATGACAGCTGGTATCTTTAGCACCTTTGGCAACAATCGTACGTCGTTGTGAACCATCGAATTGGTGTGGTCTGACCAACATGACTTAGCATTTGACGTGGTCAAAACCAAGATGCAAGGCCTCGAAGGCGCGCGATACCCCAACACATGGGACTGCGCAATGACCATTCTGAAGCGAGACGGCGTCGCGGGGTTCTACGCAGGCGTCGTGCCCCGCCTTGGTCGCGTGATTCCAGGGCAAGGCATCATATTTATGTCGTACGACACCATCTCCATGCATGTAGCCAAGTACCTTGACGATGGAACGAATAAGGTCACTGTGAACTTGAGTGGCGTCCAGTCGAAAGTACGATAAAAACGTCAATTCCAAAAGTATTTGGTTTGATATATTTGGCGACGCCTTTGCAAGATCCAAAATGGACCAATCCCGTTCGAGGATCCTCTCGTCGTTGATTGGGCGATGAATGCTAAAATTGTGATTTGATTGGACAAAATTATGCGGATTCCCACCAACCCTTTGCGACAGCCAACATTCGCACCATCAACATGGCACCAGCCAAGCAAGCCGAGGAACGTCGCGAAGATGGTCGCTTAGTGCAGGAGATTCGCCCGTTGTCCTGTGAACAAGGCCTGCTGAACCGAGCAGATGGATCGGCGCGATTCAGCCACGGATCCACGTCTGTCGTGGCGTCTGTGAATGGCCCCGCAGCGGCCAAAAACCGCCGCCAAGAAAAGGTTGACGCTGCTACGCTTGAAGTCGTGTTCAAGTCTGACAAAGGCGCGCCGACTGCACGGGACAAGGAGTATGAGGTGATTCTGCGGCAGACGTTCGAGACCGTCGTGTACTTGGAGAATTTCCCACGCGCCGTCATTAGCCTCACAGTGCAAGTCGTGGAAGACGACGGGTCCCTCTTGGCTGTGGCCATCAATGCTGTCAACTTGGCGCTCCTCGATGCAGGCATTCCCATGCGATCGTTGGTTGGCGCCATTACGTGCTCGATTCTCGACGACGGCCAACTGTGCCTCGACCCATCGTTGACGGAAGGCGACGTAAGTTGTCCTGCCATATAGATATAGCCACGTGACTTCGAGCATAGGCCGCCACCGCGTCCGTCACGGCTGCATGTGCCGGGAAGAACGACGGTATCCTCACATCGCTGACCACAGGTATATCGCACGAAACATCGCGCCGCCGTCCCATGACCTGGCTATGTAGGGTTGTTGAACGAGTCACAATACTTTGCAAGTTCTGAAATCTGCCGAAGGTGCGTACTGTGCTCGTGTGGAAATTCTGATAGTGATTCCTTGTGCTTTGTAGAGCAATTGACAGCGTGCTTTCATTTGTGCGCATTGCACAGGAATCCAAATTCCAAAAGGCCGCTGCGTAAACACGACTCTTCCCACGCCCCCATAGGGATATCGATTGTCGTTTTGCTCTATCCAGCCTTCTCGGACGACATCAAACTGCCCGGTCTTCCTGAGATATGTAACAGAAAATACACCATCTACCTACCAACCGACTTGCTCCGAGTATGCTTCATGCCATCGATCACCACGTGGTTCCCTTCTGCGCCCGACATTCCTTCAGCCACGCACATAGAGCAGCGTCCCTTCACCGACCAACGTCGCATGAAACTCTTGCATATCCCTTGCTCCGTGGTCCCATTGCGTCATGCCAGCCACGATTCTTGCTTCTGCATGCGTTTCTGCGTAATTCAACGATTCAAAATGATCTCGTCCTCGATGGAATACCTAGAAATCCTATTTTAGTGTCTAATTAGGGTTCATTTCGGTGGTGGGTTTTACACCATTTCCACCGTTGGCGGGACATTCTGATCCTCGTGGAACTCATTTTAAAGTTATACTTGGCATTTGTAATCCATTTTCGGATCAAAAACATTAAAATAGTACTGGTACTGCAAGAAATGTGATCAAAAGCGATTTAGCCCAGCGGGAAACATGGATCAACTCCAGGAAAAATCAAAAGGCGGCCGGCCGCGGGATCCCATTTGGAATGAGTTCGAGGTCGTGACTGACCCACAGAAGAAGCGGCTCTGTGCATGCGTATGGTGCCGCCAGGAGATGAAGGGGGAGCCCAAGCGGATGCTGATGCACTTGACCAACAAGTGTGTTGGCGTGGACTTCGACACCAAGCAAAAGTACATTATGCGCACGACCGAAACCACAAAGCTTCAGCGACCGCCCAAGGACGACAGTGCATCCCTCCTCAGCCAAGTGAGCCGCATCGCGCAGATCGCCGCACCCACCTCACGCAAGATTGTCATTGCCGGCGGCAACTTTCACAGCGCCTTCATCCACTTCGTCGCGTCCCTCACGAACAAACCCCGTCCGCGGGTGTGCTTCTTGCCGACCGCAGCTGGGGACCGAGATGCCACCATCATGACGTTCTATCAAGACTGCGCGTCCCTCAACGTCGAGCCATACGTGCAACTTAGCTTCGTCTCGTCCAGCAAGCAACACCAAGGCTTTGACGAGGTGCTGCTGTCCATGGATGCCATCATATGCTCCGGCGGCAACACACTGAACCAGCAAGCAATTTGGCGAGCCCAGGGCATCGACATCATCCTGCGACAAGCATGGGAGCGTGGCATTGTCCTTGGTGGCGCCAGCGCCGGGTCACTGTGCTGGTTCGAAGAAGGCACAACCGACGGCCGGCCCAAGGACTTGAGCATCGTCAAGTGCCTCGGGTTTCTCCAGGGCAGCCACTGCCCCCACTACGACGGCGAGCCCGAACGCCGCTCCTTCTACCACAAGCTAGTGTATTCTGGGGAAATGAAGCCTGGATATGCTTGCGACAACGACGCAGGCATCTTCTTTGAGGACTTCAGCGTCAAGAATATCTTGTCGGCGCGGCCAGATGCCAAAGTGTACTACGTGAGTGTAGCGGAGGGCAAGTTGAGCGAGCTGGAGCTGCCAACCACGCACTACATCAAGTAGTAATCTTGTAGAATAGCCAGATATAGTCTATCGAAAGTGTATAAACGATCCAGACAAGTCATGCCTGCCCTGTCAACATTTGTCTTGTCACTGTGGAATTCCCAATCGCAAGTGTTCGCGTGCATCCACTTTTGATGGAGTCGACCCAGAACGACGTGCCGCCGCCGCTAAGTCATCGGCCCTTGGCTCTACCCCCCATGGAGAATGTATCGTTTGAGGATGACATGTGGTCCAACATATTTGCCGAGGATGAGGCTGGGGCTGTCGGTGGAGTGGCAGACGGAGGTTTGTATATCATTCGTTGTTATGATCGTCGCAATCACTGATGTGCAGGGCCAGATGGACCATCTGAGGACTCGAAAGCATCCAGTCACGACTGGCACCACTTAAGTAGCGACGACGACGACGACCATCGAACCAACGACCATCAACCTCCTGTTGGCACCCCGGAATATTGGACGGCAGTGTAAGAACGCAATGTGTCCAGCACAGCGGCAAGTGGAGTTCATTGAATCCAATAGGTCCCTCAGCCAAGCAGACTACGCCCCCAGTCACGTCGACCACCAGCCCCCCCCCAACGTGTTATTGTCGTCATCGGGGGGGGTTGCCTTTGAGACTTCCCCCTTGCGGTATCCCCTTGTGGTAACGTGCGCATGTTGTTATTGGTTTGAAGGGTGTCGACACTCACGCCTTCTGCTCGTTGTTCACTTCCAGGTCATTCCTGTAGCCACAACAGGTACAAAAGGTGGTCCGGAGGGTGCATTTCCAAAACGAGAATGCAAACGGCGTTGTATATGAGTAGCATTGTCCAAGCCACTGTGCCGATTCGACGGGCTTGTGGTTGTGGGCACCGACGGTGACGCTGCTGTCGCCCCCGGTCGCCTCGTGCTGAGCAACTTTCGATCACCCAACCCCATGGCTGCCACGACATCATTGCCCATCGCCAGTGTACGCTGGTTTTCTGGCAGTTGTTGCCTTGTTGCCTGACGATCTTGCTGTAGATGGTGCGGGATTTGCAGTGGGTGAACCCCACGATCGTCGCCGTGGCCGTGGGCAAGGACATTCAACTGGTGCAGGTGGGGGCCGCCGCTGGCGTCGATAGCGCTACTACCACCGCCGCCTGCTTTGTGGGAGGTACTGATGTGTTTTCTGTTGTGTGGATAGTGCGGATAGGAACAGGAGTACAAATCATAACTTTGTTGACAACACCCCCTGTATAGCGCCTATCACCATGGCCCACTCGAACGCCATTCGTGAAATGGCAGTGCCCCCACTTGGCTGTGGGCGCGACGGATGCATCTTGTCTGGAGGTTCATATACAACCTACCCCTTGGTACTTGTTGTGGAGGTCATTGCTTCTCTAGGCTTTGACGAAACTGTATGCGTGACCGACTTGGAAAAGCACGATGTTCTGCTCAAATTTGACGCGCGGAACGTTGTCAGCAGCGTCCGGTGGATGCCAGGCGAAGGTATGTACATATGTACCACCAGCTCTAAGAAGAAAGTTCCTCTCTTTATAAAAATTCTACCCGGACGTAACCTGATGTCGGATGTCGTAGCCAGCCACGTGAGCTGGACCACGGACGGTGGCATGTTCAGCATTGCCGACTTGCGTGTGCGGTCGTCGACAGGCCAAATCAACTTTGACTCGGCGCTGGTCTGTTGTCGTTTTTTTCCCTCGTCGTTATCCCGTGTCTTTTGATAGGCATTTGGGCACGTTGGGGGGTTGTATTCCCATGATTACGTGTCGCCCACCACCGTTGTCGTGGGGTACGAGAGCGGGCATGTGGCGTGTCTTGACCTCCGAAAGCCCTCCAAGGAATCGTGGTACCCTCCTCGTCCTTTTTCCCATCCAATCAGGCCCGTGGTAGCTTTCTTGTGTGTAAAACCCCACTTACGTCCGTGGGCGAAGTGCGCAAGTGCCCCGCCACAGCCGAGTGCGCGTTGTTTGGTGCAGGCGGGTATGTACATCTATTTGTTGTGGTGTGAGGTTTACACGTGTGTGGGTAGGTTTAGTCTAGTTCATTTCCATGCGACAACGCCCGACACGGACCAGTGGCACATGTACTACGAAGAATTCTATCAACCTAGCCCAACGATTCGTCGTCTGTAGTTCATTTGCGTCGAAACTCGCCAACGCATGCCAAACCAGCGGCGACTTTGCAATGGGCGACCCCAACTTGATGGCAGTCTCGGACAGGTTGTTTGTTCCTCTTTCAAGTACTAGATCTCACTGCTATATTAACGTTATATATGATGACGTAGCGCGGGCATGGTGTCTCTCTACGACGTGTCAACGTCCAGTGCTACGACGGCTTCGTTGCACTCGTTTGGGGACGGGTTGGTCGCGTCACCTCGGTCGCACGCCATGTCATTTTAGTTGATACGTCGAAGTAACGAATGATCCAATTTTGCTATTAATGGTGAATCTCAACTTGGCGGCAGTGGGGGCTGGAGCGTTTCGGTTGACGGGGTTGTTTCGAGCGGGGAGATTGGTTCCAACACCCACCCTGGCGGTATTCATGAGCGTGTTGGTTTTGGGATTGAGCTGGCAGTCAATGTAACCAGGCTGAGTCAGCACCTTGCACGTGCTGGCACATTCTTTCAAACTCAACGGCGCCAACGCGTCGCAGATTCAGTCGCGAGGACTAAAGACAGCGCAATGAACTTGAACATGGTTACTGTAACCGATTTGAAAATGTGCGTTCCAGTGATATCTTTGTGCATAATGTTTCGTTTTAGCCAATAAGATTTCAAACTTCAGTTTTCGTTTTGTCCAATCAAAATATGGCTTTGGTTGATTCGCGACAAGATCCACCCAATGAATGAATGAATGGGTCGTAACGGCCAGATTATCCGGTAATCGTGGGCGTTTTCGTGGCTGACAAGTGGGCACACGGAGAAGATAGGATCGTGGATATTTATACTTGGCGTTTTTCTGGCACAATCGGAACACAAATACGTGAGCCAATCGCAGGGCTCCGTGGTTCGATTTACGGACGAATGGCATCGGCCGATTTCGTCGTGTGGACGTACAGTATGTGCCAAGCTCACACGTGTGCGACACGACGACGTCGACACGTTCATAAGGGTCCCGACCAACGGGGCATTCGTGTGTGTTGCGTGATTATGCAAACCCGCTCCAACCGAACATGTGCATGGTGCTGGTGTTCGGCATGTACAGTACCTGGCGGTGCACCCGTCGTTGGACTTGTGCGGCGCGCTCTTACCCAACTTCTTCAAGTCATGTTCCCGATCGTTTGCTAACCTCGCGAACACAGTGATTTCGTTCGACAACGATGAACCCCACCATGTCGCGACGTCGGGCTGCACAACTTGTCATCACCGTCGTCAACACCGTCCTGGAGATGTGGTTGGCCAAGTATCGTGAGGGAATGGTTGGTCGAGAAGATGCCATGCCCGAGACCGCGCGTAGTTCCCCATGGCGTTGTTTCGGAACATAGGGTTGATGACCTCCTTGGCCACGCTCGTGACGACTGGCAACATCCTTCCCACAGGCATTCCGCCCGGCGTCAACATGTATACGCAAATGCATGCGATGCGCGACCATATGGAACACAGAATGCGATGCAAGACGAGGTTCAAGGCTTGCGTGTGGTTGGGGAGGCGCGGTGAACCCCACGGCCATCGCAGCGATGATGGAGACGGCGACCACGGAAACGACTCCAAAGTACCAACGATGGGGGGCCGCGTTCACGAGGGGGGCTATAGTGGAACTTTACGATCCCCAGCGGGGATGTGAATCGGGCGTTATGGTGTGTGGGGAATTCCTCCTCGAGCCATCGTCCATTCCGCCTTTATAGTCACGATTTTTACGAATAAGGAACCGGCGCCAAGCCCTCCGTCCACCCGTCCGATCCCGAGCTTGGTGAGGTTTTGATGTGGGCATGCGTGGGTTGGTGCGTGGACAGAAGCGCAAACGCGACATGGCGACACTGGTAATGGCGATGACATCGCGGACGTCGTAGATAGTGTTTGATACGTTGTCTCATTCTATGATGCATTTTGACTTTGCCATGGTTGTACATATTACTTGAAACCCCCTCATCACGTTGAACCCCGCTGTTGTCCATGACTTGGACTTTTCATGGCGTTTCAATCGTCTCGCTTCGCTTCTATTGGCTAAAATACATAGTCCTTTCAGCCATACAAATTCGTCCAACCTTGGCGTCAGAGAGATCCTTGCCATGCTTCCAACCATGAATGTGGGATTATTTAATAATATTATTGTTAATAATATATACTAGTATATATATCACCCTGAAGGATGAGTTTTGCGGTTGTGTTGTCAAAAAAATATATCCGTCGACAGATCCCATTCCTAGAGGATTCTTCCAACATTTAATAACGTTATTGTGTTTTCAAGCTAAATTTGGTATTTATGGTAACGTTAGATTCGACAAACGACGTCAAATCTACCTGAAATAGTCGAGACATAGTTTTACTGGAACTAAATATACTCCATGTAAATCGTGTCCGATACAATAATGTTGAGCTCTTTGTGAAATGGAGACGCTTGACAATGCACTGGATACACGCACCACCTGCAATTTGATTGACCATAAGGTTTTTATTCGATAATTTCATTGGCTACTTTGTCGATTTATTCGATTGGCAGCCCCAGTCGTCCATTTTGAAACCGAATTTCACCAATATGGATAACTATTATACCTGGTATTTACAGTTCCGTACTCTTCGCCGTTTCGAGGCGATACCAAGCTGCCCGACTTTAGCATTTTTCATGTAATTAACACTGGCGTTCCCACGACCGCCGAAACCACAGATCACCCACGCCCGCAGTCCCGCGGCGGAGTCATCAACGTGACAGAGCGGTACCCGTTTTGTGTCACGAGCGTTGTGTTTTGTATCCGTTTCTGAACGTAGATGGACCAGGGGCGACGACTTGTTTACGGATATACTGCGCTACGACTCGGATAACGACATCGTCCATACACCCCCTTATGTCAATAGCCTCAACAGCGAAAGCAGCCTCAGCGCCACAAACTCGTATTTAGTAGCTACATTTGTACACGGCATGTTGTGAAGTAGTATTTTGTACTCAACTGCCTCCTAAGAGGGCGTCGAATCTTCGTGACGTAGCTAGAGCTCGTAGCTACGTGAATTTAAATTAGAGCAGTATTTTCACCGATCAACAACCAAAGTATACATAAGAATAGGCTTAACTATAGTATGGTTTCGTCCAGGTGAGATATTCTATCACCAAGAACTTCAGGTTACGAGGTACTGTGAAATGGCGTATTTTTAGTCAATTTTTGTCCAGGTGATAAAACTTTTACCGGCCACCACTGTATACTGTACATACTATACGTATAGTATATCAAGACGGAGCTCAAATGATATCATGGTGAACTTTTGAAATGGATGTGGGTTCATTTTTAATGAAAAACTCAGCCGATTGAATCGAGTGAGTTCAGTAATATCCTCAAAACCCGCTTTCTCATGGCGTGAGGATATTTTGGCTTGACTTGATTAACACTGTAAAGTAACGGTACTCGGTACATGTATCCGGACGGGCTGAGTGAGGATTAATTATCCTGTCGACAAAGACTTGACGGTGCGACAACTTTCACGAATCCCGAGTAAATCCGTTGGATAAAATACAAATGCGATATTTATCCGTTCAGTAAGTACTAGTACTCGATTGATTAATTTAAATTCACGTAGCTACGAGATTTACCCTTGTTAGCTAACATCACGGAGATTCGATATCATAGCTACAGTACGCTGTGGAAGAAGCAGAATGACAGACAACATACAGTACTAGTAGATGATATGTAGTTGCAGATCTGCTTCCAACTACCGTTGAAATCCACATACAGTCCATAATTATGAACGACTTCCATGATACCACGCACAGGAGCAGCACGACCAACTTCACTCTTAGACCAAATGCTTGATCGATGTCCCCTTCCCAATCAAGTACGGAGTAAATGTAGAATGCAACAATTTCGTTGTACTATTTAGTAGCTACACGGCATGTTGTGAAGTAGTACTTTGTACTCAACTGCCTCCTAAAAGGACGTCGAACTTTCGTGACGTAGCTAGAGCTCGTAGCTACGTGAATTTAAATTAATACAATCGTGTACTTACCGAACGGAGAAAACTGGTACTTCAAGTATTTGTTACCCAATGGATTAACTCCACAAAATCCCACATACAAAGATCAAGAAAATTGTCCATACCACTACACCATTTTGCGTTTAATTCCAGCTTATTTTCAATATATTTCCACCAACCTCCGATATATTTCACCGAATCCCCAATATAATTCACCCAACCTCCATTATATTTCACGCCGATGTAAAATATCGGCGATATATTTCACCCAACCTCTGTTATAATTCACCCAACCTACCTTTCTGTCTTTCTGTGGTTAATTCCAACTTTCGAAAATATAATTCACCTAACAGTTGTTATAATTCGAGCTGGGATTCTAGAAAGATCGAAGCGCGCGAAACTCTTCGCGCGCTTTCACCATTTTTGAATCTGCGCTCTATGGAAGAGGCCATCCCTGCACCACAAACTCCGGTACGTCTCTCTGTTTAGTACGAATGACCGCTAACATGAAGTGTCAAGACGCTTCGTTGTTAATACTAGGGCCGTACTCCCCGATGTTGAACCCGATCGAGAATATGTGGCCGGCGTTGAAGAGCCATATTAAGACATCTTTGCACGAACGAGTTGCGGCCTTTATGGGGTCACCGCCAGACGGACAGACTTAAAAGATGTAACTCAACAATGAATTAGGAATTGAGCCGAATCGTTTGCATGTGTACACGGCCCGCCTTGAACCGTTTTATGTCCGTGCTGAGAACATGGAAGACATGGATGTTCGTGCTTGAGCCGTAGATGTCGTAGATATGTTGCGTGGGTTGGTTTTAATTTACTTTCCATGAAATATACCGGTGGTTTAAGGTGAAATTAAGAGTTGGTTGGGTGAATTATATCGGAGGTTGGGTGAAATATAATGGCCAAATTTCACATCGGCGTGAAATATAATGGAGGTTTGGTGAATTTTATTGGCGATTCGGTGAAATATATCCGAGGTTAATGGAAATATTTTGAAAAAAAAGCTGAAATTAAACGCAAAATGGTGTAGTAGTACTTACGATGCATTAGCGCCATTTTCATTCCGTAGAACAGGCCGCCTTGGATATGATATATCCGCTCTATTAACTGTGTACTGTACTTACAGAATGAATAATTCCCCACAGCAGGTAATTTACGTATCTTACCTTCAAAACACCCAAACTACTGTATACCTTGTGTCGGTGCGACAAGCTATAATAGCTAGCTGTACACAAATCCCACATACAAAGATCAAGAAAACAGTCCATACTACTACTACTAGTACAGTACTTGCAACTGTATGTCCATAAATACAGCGGATAGAGGCCCAAATCAATGTGCAACCTCATGCTGGTAGCTGCTACCTACCCACCTCTGCCATTTGCATTTTGCGACTCATTCTTGAATTTACTCCACAATGAAAACCTCCGCCGTCGTCTTGTCTATCGTGGCCGTGGTCGCGGCCAACAAAACTAAAAAAATCAAGCCCGCCGTGCTCGAATCGCTCCAACAATCGTCCACCGTTGATGTGCTTGTGGCGTATGGTTACTTGCTCTTCTTGGAAAATCCCCGGGGTAGTAGCCTGTACTCCCTCGCCAAATGCAAGCCTGGTCTGCTTAATGGTGAGGTTGACTGCTATGGCTTGACTGAGGAAGAACTCTACAGCATCGCGGCCTTGCCCGAGGTCGACGATATCCTTCCTGCTCGAGACTACTCCGCTTTTGACTCTCCCAAGATCACCCCCAAGCCTACTACCACCGCGGCTACCCCTACGCATAGCGCGTGTAACGAGCAACGCGACTCTTCGGATGACCGTGACTAAGCGGTGGAGGTCAAGCCCCCGAGTTGCCGTTGTCACTATTCGTGTTTTAACCTTTGAATATACGACATACTAGTACTGTATGCTCTTAAAAAAGATGCAGCGATTAATAACGATACTGTACCAGAAAAATGAAGTTTTGCGTATTATAGTGCTATACAGTAGCTAAGTTAGCACTTCAGCATGTGGTCCAAAGTGTTGTCCCACCTGCTAGTATCTCTTGTCGTCTGTTCATAGCAATCGGCTCAACGACATCGCGGCTCTTAACCCAATACACGACCCCCACCCCATTTCAGTGACCTTGTGATGCTAACGTCAGTGACCGGAAACCCAATACGTTGCGGGGAAGGCACGGACCAAAAAATCGAAGTCCAAATACATCATGGAATTATCGATTCTAAAATACAAAGTTGTTGACGAATTGCTGTCCGTCACAACGCAAACGGGATTGGCATCGGTCCTTCAAGAAGTAACGTTACAATTTCTTGCAGTTTAAGTTGGACGATATATTTGGCGGTGTGCCCGATATAATTGGCCATGTGCCCGTTTAATTTGGCACACGGATGTCGTGCGTCCGATACAATTGGTCGTTGCCCGATAAATTGACCGTAAGCAATTGCCCATCTGCCCGAAGACTTGTGTCGTGTGAATTAGTGTGTGACTTCAATTAGTGTGATACCAATCACCACAGGACACTTTTTTACATACCAAATTCAGTACAACGATTAGCCCAAAAGTCCAAATTTGGGGTCAAAGGACAATGTATACATGGTGGCACGGTGCCTCTGTACGGCGGATATATCGACGTCCAGTGCTACGACGACATGGTTGCACTCGATTGGGGACGGGTCACACGACATGTCCTTTGAGTGGAGACCGAATAATACATAGCACTACTCCATTAGCTGGTTTGCTTTACAATGTGTTGGAGCAGCCGGTGAACTGGTCGGGTGGCTGATTTTAACAGATACGTGTTCAAGTGCATGGCGGCAAATCGTCGGACGTCGTCCGGTGCTTCGTTCGACCCTGGACGGACTAGTTGGTCGATTTAGACTGACCTCAGCCACGTACCTCGATGTGGCGGCAACGCCTTCGTCACACTAGCTTCTTCGGCAATGCACGCAAACCACTCCATGTCCTAGTAAGTGTGCCATAAGCGCATGTAGACTATAACTATATATATATATAGATATGCGTACCTTGCATCTGGATACAGTCGTCCGACCCAACACGGTGGTTGCCAACATCATCTTGTACGTTGGAGATTGCAAGGTCTACCATTATCCACCTCCATGTGAAATACCATATTGTGACTTCAGCCAAAGACTGTATATTGTGTGCTCATACGCCAACTCCATGTAACATTTTTCACACTATTTGAAGTCACACACTAATTCAGGAATTTGATTGATTCCTTGATTCGTATTCTGGATTTGGATTGGTCAGTCGATTGTTTGTCGATTTGGTTTTGCTCACACTTACTACCTCTTAACTACTCGTGGAATCGACTTGACAATATTGTATAACGTTTGTTACTGATACGTATATATATATATATATTAATATAGATTCCAGTCCACCTAGACCACCAACTATCACACGATCGAATCATATCCGAGCAAATGCATCAATATCATGTTTGTCGTACTATTGTCAAATCGATTGGAGCCGTCAGCAGAATCGATTGTCTTTGGAGAAAAAGAAGCGCCTGAGCCAATCAAAATATCACGTCATGTCGAATTTCTACCAATCCAAACCTTTGACCCATCCGCACTGGGCAAAACCACATATATACTAATCATTGTATCGTATAGTGTGTACAACTATTAAATAGGATCGAAAGCACAATATTTGGCGAAATGACTCTCAAGACCAATAATATTTGAGGTGAAATATACACAATCATACCTGCAGAAACACGAGCCGCGTCGAGCGTTGCATGGCCTGCAGCCCCATTTGCAGCTTTTGCATAGCATTATCCTTCTGGTCAGTCAGGCGCAGCAGCATCTCGAGCAGGCGCGTAGCCGCCAAGCAGCCTTCGCGGCCGTCCACTTGGAACGCTTTCGCCACGTCGCCCGAGTCGTACACGCGGACCCAGAGGGCAACCACCCGCCCCACCGCCGCCAGAATCACGGGGTTCTGCACCCGTCCTCTCGGCTGCTTGTTCTGCGACAAGGTGGCGGTCAGCAACACACTCAATCGGGTGTGTCCGATCCAGTCCTTGTTGGTCGCCGCTAAGCGTTGTTCGCAGAGGGCCATATCTCGTGCAAAGTAATGCACCATAAACTGCACCACCAACAACGACCTACCCATACATATACTCGTACAGTTGCCTGCTTGTATAGATAGATACAAGGACGAATATAATATATATATATATGGCGAAAAAGTCGACATTATCAACCCAGTGGGTGGTTGGCGATGATATCCCGGTAGTCGTATATATATATATATTCGCGTATCACAGTAAGAACGTACCGCAACCATTTGTCGTCCACCGGTTTCAACACCACGTCCTGCGGATATATCAGTACTGATATATATATATATATACTACAAAACGAGAAAATATAAACAATTTTGGACAAGCATCACATCCCGTGATGGTGCGATTTCCTTCGTGGCAACCGAAAAGCAACAATGAACACGTACACAGAGCACGTCGTTCATGCGGGTCCACTGCGCGGGAAACGCCAGCGTCGTGTGGCATTGCGACGCTTGCTCGTAGACGAAGATCATGGACGAGAAGATGGCCATGGCGCGCGCGTACGTGGACTCGTTCTGCATTTGATCGAGCAGTTCTTCAAACAAGAGCGGCGTCGGGTACTCTTTGCCAAGAGCCACAACGCTGCGCAGCGCCGAGTTGGCCACGTCCGGGTCGTTGGTGCTCAGGGACGTGACAATGTCAAACACCTACAGATCCCGATGAGAGAAGGATTGGGATGAATGAGCATGTTTGGAGCACGGGAATACGAGGTGACCGCACCAGGGAGTTGTTCATGCAAGACTTCGACGTGGACGATGGTGTGATGGGTTTTTGATCGACCATGCGCCTCTTGAATCGCTGGTGCTGCAGCGGCGTGCACACGTCGAACACGTCGTCGTTCGAACCCACGGCGTCCTTCAGACTGGACGATAAGGCATGCCGGGATGTAGACGGCGGTGTCACCGTAGCATGGGTTGATCGAGCGCCGCCTGCACGAGGGGACGGTGGCGACAGTGACTGGGTCACGTCCAAGACGATAGGTGCCGCCGAGATGATGGCATTGGGAAACTCGATGGCACGTGGGGACGACTTGACTCGACTAATGGACTTGGGTGATGCTACGGGATTGAAGAACTTGGTGATGGGGCTCGTCGTCTCTTCTTTGAAGGCGGCGCGGGCGCCTCGCTTCTTATGCTTGGTTGCCATCTACTAGAAGCAACTCTCCCTGTTTGAACTTGCTGTCGGAGAAATGCAAACTTGTTTGCCCTTTAAGCGATAAATGAGATCTCAAGTAGATGAAATAATTATTTCGGTTAATTTAGATGAAGTTTCTGATTTTTAACCCACATGAACAGCTGTTAGAAATGCTTACCCGTACCCAAGCCGCTCAAGTGGAAGCGAGCGAGCGAATGGCCAGTCAAAACATCGAACGAGCGACACGACAAACAGAAGTTAGAGTGGAAGGACTTAAGATGCCGAAGTATTATGGACGAATGGACGAAAGTATTAGCCTATACATCCACCAAGTTACGACCTTTTTCAAGGCAAAGAACGTGGATTACCAAGAAAACGATGGGACTCAACAGCGATGCATTGCCATGATGGTGGCAAATTTCCGTGGCCTTGCCGCAGCCTGGTACCAAGAACGGCTTTCGCGCGGC